TGTTCTTGCAATTTTGGCCTATTTGCTGCTATTCTGCTTTGGTTATGACACCATTTCCATTTTTATACTCGATGACATGAGTGTAACTCCACAACAAATTGTCTCCAGCATTGTCTGTTCAGAGGAGATATTATAAAGGAGCACCAAGGAACCAGTAGCATCACACTAAGATCCAGAGAATCTGAATGCTGTTAGATCCATTAGCAAGTATGTCATGGCCACTGATGCAGCAGCAACATTTCCCTGTAAATCACCGGTGCTGGTAATGCAGGGCAACATCCTCTGCCCTGGTTGGGGCATACAACATTGCCAACATTATCAATGATCCCTGTCATCGCACTGTCAATGACACCATGTTCATTGCCTGACTATCACCATCTATTAGACTTACTGTACATCTGTCCCCTCTGATTCTCTACATCGCAAAAAAGAGCTTCCCCACACTTCATAAATCTGTTGGGATGCTGAAGGTCACTCAAGTAAGCAGAAGCCTGGCAATAATCCTGCTGAGGTACAGTACAAGGAATACAGCTGCATGCAAGTTGATCGTGTTGCTCTATGCTCTATGTATCAATGACTGTATCAATGATAGGAGTGTAGTATAATTCTCCAGAATAAATCCGTCCAAACTTTCCATAATCACAAAGCAAACTTGAGTTCCCTCTTCAGATTATAATATGCTTTTCACCAGGTAGTCCTGGTAAGGTGACCATTTGAGTTAGACCTATTTCATAGTCCATTTGATGAATAGAACCAATATTCAAGTATCAATAATTTCAGGTAATCGCAGGTGAAGAACAGCTGGAAAGTGATAACTATCAGAACACATAAAGATGAGAATATTTATAGGAAGGAAACTAAGATCTTTGAAACCACAGCATAATCTAAGTGGGGCTTTCTCCTGTCCCAATGGATATATTCAGTGGTGGGATTCAGTAAGTTTGCACCACTTCAGCAGAACCAGTAGCTAATTTTTTGTTGCCCAGGCCCAGAATGGACTTCTGGAAGCAGCATCCACACAGAGGACTGGTTGTTCACATATATGAATCCCACCACTGAATATATTCCACTGCAGAGTCAGTATTCAATATACCATTCAAGACCCCAAGGTCTAAACTGGTCAATGTTTGCATTATATACAGCCCTTTTAATTGGTTATAGAGTCTATTAACTGGCAAGGCAATAAGGAGTTAATTGTAGAAAATCAGGGCAATAGCAATGAAACTTTGTATAAAGCTGATAGTAATTGAAGCCAATTCTAATATTACAAGTCCTTTAAGAGTCTCCTGTAATTCATGCCTCCTGTAAAAGTACAGTATGTTTATTGTTGGAAGAAAAGTCTTCATTATGGTTCAGTCCAAGCCGGGGATAAACAACATGGTTACTGCTTTAGAAAGAAGGTTGCAGTTTATTGAAGAGCCAGACAGAAAGATGGTTCTGGCAGGAAAGAGGAGAGAAAAAAGGGCTGAGCACATGTGGGGAGTGGGTTTTTATACCCTCTGGAACCTTTTGTTTGTGGAGTTGTTCCTGTTCCTGTGGCATGAACTTTGACCTGAGTCTCAGTGTGCTTTTCTGGTATTCTGATGGTGATGGGTTAGTCCTATTATGACCAAAGATCATATCCTGCTTCCCCGGGGCTGGGGCTAATGACTCCTAGAGTTTGGGTGAGGTATGCAGATTTTAGGTGTCTTTGTCTTCTTGATCTCCTAGCTGGGGCCTTCCTGATGGTTTACATCTGCATCTCTGTAGAGCTGGTTTCTGCTTGGGGAAGGGAGACCTGGAGCTATTAAGAAAACTGGGCATGCTTTCCTGCCTCTTTAAGATCCTTGGAGGAAATATATTTTTCTGCCCTTTTAATATTTCCTTCTCTGGGGAGCTGACTTCCCACATTATCTAAATACTTTTTTAAAAAAAGCATAGTCATCTAACTTGGAATTTCACCCAGAACACTCCATGAAATAATTGAAAATGTTTGTAAAGTTTTCAAAATCAACTGGGTTGTGAAAGAGAGGTTTCATTGAGATTCTACCTGAGATCCTTCAACTATTCTCAAATTAGGTTTTATCTGAATCTCTGAGAGTAGAGGCAGCTTATCAGGTCTACAGCAATTAAAAGAGACTGAAGTGCATTCATTAATTGAAGAAAAAGTAAATATATTATCCTTATTTGATGCTTTGGCTTTTGGAGCAGTGAAAACTTGTTTTTGAACCATGATTAAAGCATATAGTACGCTGTATGAAAAAAAAATCTGAGCTAAAATGCATATTATTCATATCCTATTTTTTATGTTTTTGTACAATTCAAGAAAGAACACTGGAAGTATATGAACAGTCTTCTCCAAAACCTGGATCTAATAGAGCAGTTCCTTTTTGTTTCCTATTTTAGTTTATATTCTCTACTGAATTAAAATATATTAAAGGAGGGTTTAATGTATTATCATTACATCCATCTAGAAAGGTGAGAGAAACTAAATCAATTTATGGTTGCAGCTGTTACACACATAGATAGCAGCATTGGTCAAAGTTCATCTAATCTATTCTAATGTATCCTTTTGTTTGCACTCTGGCAAAGCTCCAAAGGAGTGAGTTAAATCTGCTTCCAAAAGCTATTCAGTAAACTTGCTATCAGTCATTATCTGAAGCTGTTTATTCAAAGAGTTAATTCTCAAGGACACTGTTATGTGATTTCTTCAAGCTATGGCATTTCATCTTGAATTTACAATGCCAGCATTTTCTTTGTGGGGTAGTTCAAAAACTGAAATCATTTTCTCTTTGAAAAAACCCTATTTTGACAAAAAAATGAGAAGTGCCCTTAATTGTTTCATTTGAAAAAACACAGGAATTGTGGGGTGCTAAATTTCAACAAAATTTGCCAACAGTCAAATTAACTTGGCAGCTGCTCTATCAATAAATCAACTTTATGAAATTGAAAATAGAGGAACTGGCTAGGAGACAGGAGAAGGTTTGTGTGGGGGTGATATCTATCAGTTCCTATTATACCTATTTTGGATATAGGTAGTCCTTGCTTATGACTCCAATTGAGCCCAGAATTATGATTGTAGGTTGTGCTAATCATTAAGCACATCACCATGTCATCATGCCTGATTTTACAAGTTTTTTTGTGGCAGTCATTACGTGAACAGAATGGCTGTTTTTTTTTTCAAAAACAAGAAGTAAATGTCTTTTTTCTGAAAAAAAAAACGTAAACTGTGAACAAAGGATGCTGTAAATGACAGTAAATGCAGGATGGTTGCCAAGCACCCAAAATATGATCATATAATTGTGTCGAAAGGGGTGGTGGCCATCAGAACTTCGAAACCAGGTCGCAGGAAGCTCTGGGGAGGTCTGTCATGACTTCAAATAGTTGCTAAGTGACTGGTTATAAGTCAAGAACTACCTGTGATCAGTGTGATGATCAAATTATTTTGAAATGTGCAATTCCTCTTAATTCTAGTCTCCCTATTTCTCCTATATCTGAAGGAACATTCTCTTTGTGTTTTATCATCCTTTTAATTTGTTCAAAGGTTTTTCTTGGTTCATAACATTGCTCATTTTTAATTCCAGAGTTTTATGCGAGCACAATATTTGCTAATTTGTCTCAATACATTTTGAAAATATAGCAAGCAATCTCTTTCAAATGTTCCAGACCCAGAATGAAAATATTACTGATTTCATCTGTATTCAATGCTTGACTGTCCAAAGGATAATATCAATCCTTTTACATCACAATCACCTTCTATAATCAACAGAGTGGTTGAATGAAATGGCAGCAGAAGGGGCTGTTGGTAAATTGATTCTTTCTCAAGGGAGAATTATAAATTTTGTTGACTTTTGGCCACTGTTTGCAAGTCTCATGCTATTATATGATTATCCATTTAACAAGTGCACTGAATTCATTCTATCATTAGAATTATTTACAATTTTTATCCTCATTACTCCTAATAACCTTTCAAATTTTGCTGCTTTTGTGGTTTATTTTCTAACTGTATTCCAGAGTTTATTTTCTGATACTTTCCCCCATCTTATCTCTTTTCATGGCAGAGGTAATAAAATACCTAATCGTAGAAGATAAAAGCTATGCGAGGTTTAAAATTCAGAAGTTAAGAAAAATACCTAATTTAAAAATTATTCCAAGAAGTACATAGAGAAGTGTAGTTTCCCTCCATTTTTAGCCTGTGTAAAATAAGTAAATTGTGTAGATTTGATATTTTCTGTGGAATATATTCTGTGCACTCTTTTTACAAGGATATCTCGGCAACTGTTTAACACTGTTATTAACCAAACTAATTTTATCTTTGGTACCTTCTGAGAGAAATAACAGTCTCCCTGAATGACTCTAACTACTACTACACTGCCTGCAGATATTGAAAGGGGATAACTGCTTAATTGTGACAGTACAGAATCTGCTCCAGTATTTTATACCTTTTGGACACAGTATCATTCTAAATTATAATTTATATATAATAATACATACATACCAGTCTTTGAATGAAATAGTCTCTTGCTTGATACTTTCTGTATGAGCTTCCATGGCTATGTTACAATTTTAGGCATACATAACTAGTGTCTGGAAACAGGGACTCTACTTTTTGTTAATAAATGTTGAAAATTTATTTCTTGCTTTGACTAACAGCCTCTCAGCTGTTGCTAAGAGATGGAGATCAAGATGCCTGGTACCGGTGACCTCAGTACTCTTTGCTCAGCTGTCCTCATTTCTCAGCTTGGGCAGCAACACCAAGATCTGCAGGGCAAGGAGCACCTTTATGTGCCACTTTGTCACATTCAGGAAATCCTGTAATTTGTCTGCCACATGGATAAAATAGCTCTGTTTTCATGAGCGTTAAGGGAACTAGAAATAAATAAAACATTTGCTTAAATAAAGCCCGTGTCACTGTTACTTTCGTTTCCATCGGTTATTGCAGCAGGAAGGAGAGAGGAAAGAAGCAGCGATAAAGCTCAGCATAGCCTGAATTACTTCCCTTGTACCCCAGTTATACTCACAAACGGAAAAAGCAACTGATCCTCTTTTTTCCAACATCTATGACTGTTCTCTGCCTGCCTTCCCCCGTTTGCCATTTTGGAAGAGGGCAATTCTCCAGGCTGAAGGGAGAATCGTATTATACTCAGTTATACTCAAAGGCATAAAGGCGACCGTACCTTCTTCAGGGGCCAAAATACTTTTCTAAACCATTGAAACAGAAAAAAAGTTAAGACAGCGTAACCAGCTTTTTAGAAATAAAGCTTTCTGATCGCTTTTAAGCCAGCGCGTACGGCTGGCTTTTCGATCGGCCCTTGAGATCGCGGCGTTCGAAATCACCAGGATCTGAAAGAAGACGAGAGAGGCTTCGCGGGGCAAGTCAACCGCAGGAACTGAGGCTACAGCCCCCATTTTAACTGCGGGCGCGGTGGTGCTGAGCTGTCCTTAGCGACGTGGGCGTGGCTTAGCCGGGGAAGCAGGAGTCCAGCCGGCGAAGAGGCAGCCGCCGTCTTTGAGGTGAAGGGAGAAAGGAAGCGATAAAGCGGGGAGTCCGATCGAGGGTGATTTTTTTCTTCTTCTACTCCTGAATGTTTCCTCTTCAAGAACTGGGCGGAGGGAGCGAAGAAGGTGCCCATCGGAGGCTCCTGGGGGGGGGGGAAGGGGAGTTTCCTGGCAGCGCTCTCTCGGCCTTTGGGCCTCTTTTCCCTTGATTTGAACTTCTTTCTGGCTCCTTGTCTCCTCTCTTAACACATTATATATAGCCTGTTAACAGAAGTGTGCTAGTCAATATGCTGCCCCTCCTTTACTGAACCGTTTGTAACTGTTGGCCGCCGGTATGTTATATACAGAGAGCATCCCCAGTAAATTAGAACTGACTTTAAACTGTTTAGTGAGGCTGTGGTGCTTTTCCAGAAGGCAATTGGACTTTCTTGGTTTTTTTCCGTTTAAAACGTTTCGCTTCTCATCCCAGAAGCTTCTTCAGTTTAGTGTGCAATTTTTTTTATATGGGAAAATTTCTTTTGGGGTACTTAATACTTCTCAACTTTGCCAGTGCGACCTAAAGGCATTATTGTAACTAAGAACAGTGCTGGAGGTTGGTGCTTTGCAACCTGCTGCTTTCTTATTTTTTAATTAAAAATACCTGAAACAAAAATCAGGTGGGACAGAGAGATTGGTGGGCAGCAGGAAAAGTGATCTGGGGAATAATGGTTGCCCACCCATAAGTCTCTCATTTAAGAAACATGTCTTTTTGTAGCTCTGTTTCTTTTTTGAAAAGTGTAACGTGAATGTTTGTGGCTATGTCACAAATCAGTATAATAGGCATGGTGGTATTGCCACTTTATTTCAGTTCTTTCTCTATAAAATTCCAACAAGGAATTTCCCCTTTGAATATATTACAGATAGTCCTCTAGTTACAAACAGTTCATTTAGTGACTGTTCAAAGTTACAATGGCACTGAAAAAGTGATTTATGACAGTTTTTCATACTTATGAACATTGCAGCATCCCCATGATCACATAATCAAAATTCAGACACTTGACAACTATGTTATATTTATGATAGCTGCAAAATTCCAGCCTCATGTGATCACCTTTTATGATCTTCTGACAAGGAAAGTCAATGAATGGGGAAGCCAGAGTCACTTAACCATTATTTAAGCTAGTAATCATGTTACTAACTTAACAGCTGTAGTGATTCATTTATCAATTGTACCAAGAAAGGTCATAAAATGGAGCAAAACTCACCTGACAACTGTCTTGCTTAGCAACATAAATTTTGGGCTCAATTGTAGTCATAAGTCGAAGACTACCTGCCTAGCTGTATTATTATTATTTATTATTTATTAAATTTATATACCGCCCTATCTCCCTTACGGGACTCAGGGCGGTGAACAGGCGATACTAAAAACCACGATAAATATACACAAGTTTCTGTTTTAAAATCAAATTAAATAACAGGCCTGTTCTAAAAACACCCCATACAAAACCCCCACTAAAACATAATCAAACTACGCCAGGCCGGCCGCACGGAATAGATGGGCCTTCAGGGCTCGGCGAAAAAGGCCGAGCCCTGAAGGCCTTTTTGTGATAGTATTATGACTCTATCCACAATGTCCCAAGCTTCTAGTCCTGTATCTCATAATGCCCTAGTTCTTACATTGTGTTAGTGCCTAATTATGATTTAGTTAGGAGTTTATGAGATTAACTTCCAGTAGATTGAATTAGAATTGCAACCGTAAATTTCTATTAAGCAGTTAGAAAATAGAAGATTGTTCTTTTATCAGAGTTGTGAGTTAACAAACTCTTCAAGCTGTTCTTGATAGCTGTTGTAACTGTATCCTTGATATCTGATAATTGCTTGCATGAATACCTGATTTGCCTAAATATTTTGGTAGTTTGAGGGCCAATTTTGTTAGACAAGTTAACATTTTACATCAACTTAGTAATGAGGTATGAAGCATATTTGTGCATGAGGTAAATATATACAACACAGATGTAGCATTTTATATTATAAAGTAATTGTCTATGAAAAGTGAAAAATACGATCTTAATCAAAATGTGAGATGACTTTTGGAGGTAAAACTATTTTTGGTGGGATATAATTAGCCTACTAGCTTTACATAAAGTCCCACTGCTATATAAGCTGCTGTTTAAGAATACCTGTTCTTAAACCAGAGCAATGAAGTGACATTTATATATAGAAAGCGTTATTGTTTCCTTTTTGAATTTCTGCCTACTTGTTTCCTGTATTTTCCTAGCAAAAATGTGATGATCATGTTTAGTTAAAAATCATTTATAATTCAGATAAAATAGACATGCAGTGATGTTTATCACTGCATGATAAACATCTGTTAACCTTTTCAGTGTTTCAAAATATCAAATATGCTCCAGAAGAATTTCCTCTTTTATTAAGAAAAAAATGCAGCACAGAAGCAGAAAACACATTGTTCAATAAACAAAAAAGGCGTAGAGAAACAAAAGGCAAAACAGTATTCATAATTGTAAACTGTTTGAAATACCATCTGGGGAATGGCAAAAGAAAGGCATGAAAAAGATTTGTTTCATTTTTATTTTACTCCTTTGCAAAAGAACACAATTGTTTGTCTGAAAGAATGAATGGGTTACAAATGACAATAGCTGTTTTCAAACATAGCATTACAAATAATTATGTTCATAATATAGACTCTTTGTGGCTCATAAATCCATGGTTATAGTTTAGTGTGAACCAGCTATTGTACCATATTATCAAATTAGAACAATCACCTCGCTTCCTTAATATTATGGTTGAATGTCACTAGTTGAGTAATTTTATAGTGAAACCTCTGAGTATACTATACTATACCATACTGTACTGTACTATACTATACTATATTGTACTATACTGTACATGGTTTTCAGTTCATTGGGTGGAAATAAACTACCATTCTATTCAAGGCTCTATATTTCTATTTCAAACTTGTGTTCTGGTTTTGCATACAGTTCTATGGCGACTTACCTAGAATTTATCCAGCAAAATGAAGAGCGTGATGGAGTTCGCTTCAGTTGGAATGTATGGCCTTCCAGCAAATTGGAGGCCACCAGAATGGTTGTTCCATTGGCTTGTCTTCTAACACCTCTGAAAGAACGGTTAGATCTGCCCCCTGTCCAGTACGAGCCTGTTCTATGCAGTAGACCAACCTGCAAAACTGTTCTCAATCCACTTTGGTATGTATTTGTTTATAACATTTAGTTTTGTCTGGATTGCTTTGATTGCTGTGGAGTAGTGAAATTATTTAAGTCAGATTTCCCCAACTTTTCCAGCTTTGCAGACTGGCGGGGGGGTGGAGGAGAGAGGGGAGGGTTCTGCAAAAGCAGTGGGCACATGGGTGTGGGTGTGCAGCTCCATTTGCACGAGTGATGGGTGCACACACATACGCGCTCCCATGCTGCTTGCACAAGTGGGGATGCACATACACATGCGTGCTTGCCTACCGTTTCTGCATCCCAGTTTCAAATGGCTCAAGGCCTGGTTGTTGGCCGTGGCCTGTGAGTTGGGGACCCCTGATTTACGGGATCGTTAAAAGTTTCTGAACCTTTTTAAATACTCATTTTTTCTGCATATATATGGCAAAAACACGATCTGTTCTGTCTCAGCTTTGCATAATTTTCTTAAATAAATGAATTAGTATGTTTTAATTTGTTCATATAATTGGAGTCTCTATTTAGTTTTAAGATGTGTAGAAAACAGATCACACTTTAGACTGTGTTTATGCAGAAACATTGAAAATATTTCTAAGCACAAATGTAGATTCAGTCCTGAATTTTGCAAAAACGCTTCTTCAAGTTTTAACTTGAAGGTTATCCAAGTACTCCAAATAATTGAGGAGATAATATTGGATATTTTAAAAGAAAAAAGGTACATGGTAAGGTGAATGCCCAGAACGGAGTTCCAGCACCTTTTTTGGATGGAACCTTGTAGGGTAGACAAGGCGGGTTGTATAACGTGTGTGAGTTCCGGCACCCTTTTTTTTTTTTTTTTAACAAAAAAAGCATTGTATTTACATAATCATTTTCAATGCACAGTGGATATGTTAATGTTAAGCACTGGTTAGCCATTGGGGAGTCTCATTCTCTCTAAGTTTATAGTACTCTGGTTTTATACTTTCTTTAAACATCATTTATTAAATAAATCACATTTGTAGCACTCAGATATTTTAAGCCATAGACTTAAACATATTAAACATATTAAAACAGATTCATGCTGCATGTTAAGCCAAACACGCAATTACAGTTAAGCACAAGGGGTCAGCTAAACAGAGCAAAACTAAGCAAATGTAAATATGTTCTTTTGTAACAATTTGATGATTTTTGATTCTTAGTTGAATGGATTGATATACTGTAGTATGTGTGTGTGTGTCTGTGTGTCTTTGTGCATGTAATTGTTTTATTGCTATACCTGATCATGGCCATTAGCATTATCAATTGTTACAAGAAACTTATCCCATTTTTCTAAATGTTATTTACAGATAAATTATACATTAATAAATCTGTTTTTATAAAACAGATGCAATTAGTGATTTCCCCCCCCCTATAAATAGCCTTCAAATATATTTGTTGTGTGAGGCATCTTGAAAGGTTTTATATATAATCATATTTTTGCTTATACTTCATGGAGAAAGAAAAAGTTAAACAAGAAAATGTAGGGGGCAAAAGTTAAGGAACATTTGACTACATATGTAAGATAACCTACGGTTGAATTATATAAAGCTTGTATAAATGCTTCATCTTCATTTCTTTTAGGTAATTAAAGCAGAATATGGTATATAAACTGAGTGGTATCAATTTCTTTGCCCTATGTTATTTGAAGGTTTAAATCTTTTTAAATGAAGTTTTTCCAGTCTCCTCCATAGAGGCTCACATAATAATAATAATAATAATAATAATAATAATAATAATAATAATAATAGTAGTAGTAGTAGTAGTAGTAGTAGTAGTAGTAGTAGTAGTAGTAACAACAACAATAATAATAATAAAGTTGGAAGGGACCTTGGAGGTCATCTAGTCCAACCCCCTGCTCAGGCAGGAAACCCTATACCATTTCAGACAAATGGCTGTCCAGTCTCTTCTTAAAAACTTCCAGTGTTGGAGCATTCACCACTTCTGGAGGCAGGTTGTTCCACTGGTTAATTGTTCTAACTGTCAGGAAGCTTCTCCTTAGTTCTAGGTTGCTTCTCTCCTTGATTAGTTTCCATCCGTTGCTTCTTGTCCTGCCCTCAGGTGCCTTGGAAAATAGCTTGACTCCCTCTTCTTTATGGCAGCCCCTGAGATACTGGAACACTGCTATCATGTCCCCCCTCGTCCTTCTCTTCATTAAACTAGACATACCCAATTCCAGCAGCCTTTCCTTATATGCTTTAGCCTCCAGTCCCCTGATCATTGGCTTATCAGAATTAATACTATGAAATGGGAAAATTTAATCCGATTGTTTTGATGCAACATTATAATAATAATATGCTGTTAATTTTGTAGGAGTCCTGTTTATGTTATACATTTACATTAATGGTTACCCCAATGTAAAGTGTTTGAGAGTAAAACAGAATGGAGTAATTTTTATTAAATATTTAAAAATTAATACCTCAAAATTTGATTTCAGCTTAATTTATACATTCCTTTTTTACAGTCAAGTTGATTACCGAGCCAAGCTTTGGGCTTGTAACTTCTGCTTTCAGAGGAACCAGGTAAGTCTGAAAATGTTATGTTCCAACATAAATACATTTTTTAAAAAAACCTTGTTGGTAGTAAAGTAATGCCACTGGCTTTCTACTGAACCTCCAGGTCAACTGTATACCATGATTGTTTGTCATATCACTCTTATTTTTTATTTGTTCCATTTAATTAATATTATTGCCAAAACAAAAGAGTTCACTTGGATTTTTACAATCCTTTTGGGTTGCTTTATGGCCCAGATTAATTGCAATTAGTTCATGTTAAAATATGACTCATGCTAATCATAGTTTAGAAATCATGCTAGAGATTGTATAGAATAGGCAGCCTGAAATCCTGTTTTATTAATCTCTAGATGAAACACAATAGCTGTAATTATGGTTTCTCAGCTACCACATCATACCAAACCAGAGACAGCACTTGCTTGAGTTCAAGCTTATTTTTTTATTTTCACATTGTGTGTATTATAAACAGAGCCATTATAATTTGTAAAAGACAGCTTGATGTGATGTATGACTCTAATAAACTGAACTTGTTAAATAAATTACAAAATGAGATATGAAAATGGATTATTTCTGATTTTGATTTGCCATTGATTTGCACACCATTTTTATCCAGACAGCACAACAAATCTTAATTGATTTTTCTTACTCATGGCTTTGTATTGGATGCAAAAGTGATACACAGATAATAATTAAATTGGTGAGCAGGCCTAGGATATGATTTTGGAAAAAAATATAAATAGCACCTACAGTTAATTCCAACCAAAAGCCAGAAACCATTATAAAGGGAAAATTAAATTAAGATTCGTATGTTTAACTGAAAGAAAAAAAAATGCTGACATTGCATTTTATTGAGAATTGGTATTTTTCAGCACATGCCCTAATTCTTGGTGTATTTTTTCAGTTTCCTCCAGCATACGCAGGCATATCTGAAGTGAATCAGCCAGCAGAACTAATGCCGCAATTTTCTACAATAGAATATATAGTCCAGGTAGTCCTTTTTGTTACCTCTCAAATTCCATAACTATATTCAACATTTCTACAATAGGGTATAAGAATAAAGTTTACTGTACCATGGTTTACTGTAAGGAAAGTTAGAGTCTTTCACGCTATGTACTTTTGTGTGATATATATATATTCCTTTTTTTCCCATTCAAGCGTGGCCCTCAGACACCCCTGGTCTTTCTTTATGTAGTGGACACATGTTTGGAAGAGGAGGACTTACAAGCTTTGAAAGAATCCTTGCAAATGTCTTTAAGTCTGCTCCCTCCTGATGCTCTTGTGGGCTTGATTACCTTCGGTCGAATGGTTCAAGTTCATGAATTGAGCTGTGAAGGGATCTCCAAAAGTTATGTTTTTAGAGGAACTAAAGATCTGTCAGCAAAACAAATACAGGTATATTTTGCATTGTCTTCTGTGAAAAGTTAAACAGGATTTCCTAGTTCTTATTTCATATTTTTGTAAGTTTTTCTGATTTTATAATGAATGTTTTTCATTGTCAGGATATGTTGGGCCTTTCAAGGCCTGCCGTACCTACCCAGCAAGGGAGACCACCTCAGTCCCAAGAATCGCCTCACCTTTCTAGCAGGTGTGTAGTTCTGCAAAACAAATAATATTTCAAATGATGCAAATGCACTGATCTTTTTCTAAATCCCAAAAGGAAGATCTTTTTAAAAAACAGGCCGATTTTTGCTATTTGAAATAGTTGCCTTTCTTTTAAAATTTAAGATCAAAGATCAAAGACCACGGCATCTATGTGTGAGAAAATATAAAGCTGATAATAGGTGAATCAAACTACAGAGATCATTTGGCCTCCAAGGGCAAGTGATGGTTCTAAGAACATTTCCAAATTAATAGTCTGATTTTTTTTCACCTCTACCCAAATATTCAAAGCATCCCTTTAATGTCAGGTGAAGACTACTTTGAAGGTATCCTGTGTTCCATGCGTTGATCCAATAACAGTATTGGTTGATCCCATGTTTGTCCCAAAGACCATGAAATTCTGAGCAGGCCCTGCTAATGTAGTCAGCATGAATATTTTGGTTCCATGCATGTGATCTAGCAATAGATTCTCTTGGGCATTTCAGGCACTTACAGATCTGTTATGGGATGAAGTTATGGCAATATCAGTCAAAGTGCAAAGGATTGATTTATCTATTGGTGGATGATATGTGCAGTTAATATTCTCTAGTATTCAGTTTGCTTTTTTCCTTATATATTAAATGTTTGTAAAATGAATATGTAATTTCCCTCTGTCCCCATCATTTTACTGTAATTTTACTTTTGATTGCAATTCTATTTTATTGTTTTTAGAAATATTTATGTTTTATATGTTAGGTTTTATAGCTCTTAATGCTGTAAGCCACCCAAAGTCACCTTGAGATGAGATGGGCAGCAAATAAATCCAATAAATAAATAAATACATTGATTTAGCTGTGAAGTTTTACTATGCTCTTACTCAGCCGCTGAAATGGCAAAGGCACTGGACAGGATTGCCCATGAAGTGGCCTTTCCCTATTTGTCAATTTTGAAATTCTTGGCATATTTAGAAATGTAGGGTGATTGAAAAAACAGATACTTAGGATAATAGTTGTGGAAAACAATGAGTTAATATACTCAAATATAGGTACCAACCCACATTTGGCCTACATCACAGTGGTAAGGCCAACACAGTATTGTTAATTCTCCATGTTTACTGCATCTATGGAGTGCTGTCCAGCATTCAAAGTAACCTGAATTCAATATGGACTATCCGCAATAGCACCTAGGATTTGAATGGCTAAAGCCAAAGAAAGGAAATGTTTTGGAAGGGCTAAGTCAATGTCCTGACCATAATCCTACAGAAATATTGTGGAAGGACCTGAAGTGGGCAAGTCATGAAAAAAAGCTCACCAGAATCCTAATATCCTGGGGTTCCAGAAAGCTCTCAGAACTTGGCTGTGTTGCCAGATCTGGGGTTATTGTGTTTATTGAAGTATTTGTGGAAAGTCTAATAGAATGGATGATTATAACAAATTAAGTTAAATTCCTTCCCTATTAATATTTAGGATGGAGTTAAAATTCAGTTCTTCTACAGAGGCTTCAGGGAATGAGTAGCACTGTTGTCTGAGCTCTGAGTGTATTATCTTTTTTAAATGTTGATTTGATTTACTGGTTCGATAATTATTGGTTGTTATTGTACTATGGCTGTTTTGTTGTAATAGCTGTTTTAAATCTATGATTAAAACATTACACATTTTCCAAATAAATAAGTACCCCAGTGCATAATGCACAATATTATATGTCTTTCTGTCTCTCTTTTCTTTTCTCTTGATAAAAAAAACTATAGATTTTTGCAGCCTGTTCACAAAATTGACATGAACATGACAGATCTTCTAGGAGAACTACAAAGAGATCCTTGGCCAGTTACTCAGGGAAAGAGACCGTTGCGATCCACTGGAGTAGCTTTGTCAATTGCTGTTGGACTACTAGAGGTATCTTTATTTTTTTACAATCTTAAATACTTCTAGAAGTAATCTAAATTCTACTAGTATTGTCTGGTTCTTGGAAACCATGTATTTTCCAATATATATGTTTTTGGATGTGGCACAGCTAAGACTGCAAATTTCCCTTTTCCCTGGAAATTCCAAGCAGTTAATTCTGAGGCTTTGGGAAGTATTTAATTCCACTTATTTCCACCTCAGCCCAGCAGTTTATTTCCTTCAAGAAGTTTGCTCTAGTTTTAACAGAACGGTGCCTTTCCCCAGCTAGGAAAAGGAGGGGTCGAGATCCTTCTGTGCTGTTTGGATCCTACCTCTGTGTGAATGGGTATTCAGAATCAGATACTGACTGGCAATGTAAGCTATCTTGGATGGTTACCTCATAACAGATACAATTTTTTATTAAGTATCATCCAATATCTTGTAACTTTTGTTAAAAAATTCAACTGTGCTGAATGTTGAAAAGTATTAATTGACCATAAGCAGGTTTTTTTTCTCGTTCTTAAAGTTATGCTTCTTATATATAGATGTAGGTCATGGGATTTATATGTTTATGCCATCAACATATTTCAAGGAAACTGGAAAATTGTGAAGACTATTTTTATGGGGAGGATAAATCCTTAGTTTTTTTTTAATCTTTTCATATATCATATGCTGATTAGGGGGACTAGGCATAAAGTTTGATTTTGTTTCTCTATGGAATCCAAGCAAGCTAAAATTATTAAGGGCATAATTAGAAAGTTCAATATCATGATAATGGACTTTTTTCTTTTCTAATTTTAATTTTAAACCATTTGAGATACTGAAAGAAGACTGCTCAAATTTACTGATCTTTTTTAAAAATATTTTTTCCGTTGATTTATATTTTTGTTTTTTTGCATCATTTCTTCTATCTTTTTGTATAGTATAATAATTATAGTTTATTAAATATATATGCCACCTAACTGCAGCAACTCTCAAATGTTTACAAATTGCTTAAAACATTAAAAAAAATCTCACTTTTACAATCCTGTAATCCCTTAATTAAGAGTAGAGTCAGGGCGACTGGACAGAGCTGAATATTTACTGTCCAGATGTCCTTCCTGACACCATGTAAAGTTCGCAGCAGATATTTTTTATTTGCGCCCTAAGAGAGAAACATCTGCCACTACCTAGGATTGAACTCTCAACCTTCCGAGTGGGAGGTGAGCATCTTCACCAGTAGGCCACCACATTGCTCTCAATTGCATAAAATATTAAAGACAAGAAAAGCAACAAAAATGAAGAGTAAAGATGGCAAGAGTGAAGAAATGAGATGGGAACAAAAGAAAACAACCCACATAATCTAATGGAGCCTTCTGTCACCCTTGCCCAAAAGCCTGGATGAAGAGCAAGGTCTTCAGGGTCCTTTAAGACACTAGTAGCGCTATTCGAATCTTGGGGGAACATTCCAGCCACTGCAACAGAGAAGGTGCACTTTTGGGGTCCTGCCAGATATTGTCGGAAATCAGTCTTTAAAAGAATGCAACTTATGATTGCAATTCGCAAGTGAGACAGATGTAGTCAACTAAATTCTTGACAACTAATTTAGTAATTTATATAATCTGTTGGGTTTTTGTTCCTTTTTCTCCCCCCCCTCCCAACTTCCAAGGGATCATTTCCAAATACTGGGACTAGAATAATGTTGTTTACTGGAGGGCCACCAACTCAAGGGCCAGGCATGGTGGTAGGAGATGAACTGAAAACTCCAATTCGTTCGTGGCATGATATAGAGAAAGACAATGCACGATTCATGAAGAAAGCTATGAAAGTAAGGATTAGTGTCTTTCATATTTTCTGCTAAACTTATCTTTAACTGCCAAATAATTTTAGTAACTTTGCTTCCTTGGTTGCCTTTTCACCTTGTCTTCAGCTGCCTGTTTGATATTTCTACAATTACAAGTTTTTATTTTCTGTGTGCCGTTATTTAATCCAGTTTTATCTTTCATATTAATTTCTAGTTGACTTTTTTTCTTTTGGATCTTTGCCTACATCTGTCCAACTTTGTTTATTACCTGTTCCTTTATTTCCTTGATCTCTTGAACCCCTTTCATATTAGCATTTCCTGACTTAAGTTTTTTGGACATACACTGTTGCCACTTTGAATTTTAACCTGACCAGGGCTTTTTTTCAGCCGGAACGCGGCGGAACCGCGTTCCGGCACCTTTTTCCGGGCCGGCCGCACCGGGCGCAACATCTGGGGGGGCGCGCTCGCACTCGCAGCTCTCTGCCCCTGCCTGGCTCACAACCGCGGCCATAGGGAGGCTCGGTCGGCGCGCCCCTGGCCCGTTTCCTAGGCGACCCTGCCCGAGCNGCCAATCAGCAGGCGGACTGGAGCAGAGGAGGGCGGGGTTTCCCACCAAGCGCGGGAAATAGGGAAATTTTACTTGCATTCCTGTTCTCTAAAGGGGCGGTCCTAGGGTTTGATGAGGGCGTGGCCAGGTTTGGGTGGGGGCGTGGCCAGGGGAGGGAGGTGAGTTCCACCACCTTTTCTCTGAGAAAAAAAGCCCTGAACCTGACCCCTGTTCAGATACCTTAAAGTAACACTGCAATTCTTGCATTTAAATTGGCCTTTGTGGCTTCTGAGGTGTATCAGCTCTCTTCTTCAAGACATTTTTGTTATAGGACAAATGGTTTGGAAAGCTCTCAGTAGCCAATTGTTATTTGTTAATGTTTATTGAGTAATTGTACGTCCCTTCCACAGAGTGCATAGCTTTGTGTATAGAACATACAAATGTTTACCAGTTTAGATCTAAATTCAGCAACACTATTGTATTATGTGCCTTTACATCATGCTAAACAATTATGAATAATCTTTTCTCATAACTGTCATTTAACATAACTTAAAGTTGTTATATTTCTACAGCATTATGAGGCATTGTCTAATCGTGCTGCTGCTAATGGACACTGCATTGATATTTATGCATGTGCTCTTGATCAGACTGGTCTTCTGGAGATGAAGTGTTGTACAAATATAACTGGGTATGTTCTTAATCTTGACTAAAACGTTATTGATTATAAAGAAGAGATGCATTTCTTGATTAGCGTGCATATTCTAAACTGTTACTATCACCCTGAGGAGAAAATGTTTAGTAGAAGTCATGTGTATGTTCATGTATGTGTACATTTAGAAGAAGTGGTATTTGAAATCACTGCATTTATCTTTTCTGTAATTTAGAAGCCATTTGCATATACAGGCAGTCCTCAAGTTATAATGATAATTGGGCCTTGGATTTCTGTCACTATGCAGTGTGATCATAAAGTGCAATGTCCCATGACTACATTGCTTAGCAACTAATCCTGGCATTCTCCATTGCTATTGTTAACAATTGAATTCCACTGGTCGTTAATCAAGGATCCACCCCAATCAAAGCCATTCTGGGCTTGGTCCCTCCTGGCCCCAAGCCTCAGTTCTTCCACAGTAATGGACTGCCTCCCCTTCAACTTCTCCCAATTGCCTATTCCTCTCCCACATCTGCCCTTTTGGCCATCTTGCACTCTGCCTAGTAGGGTAGCATGCAGCCTTAGTGGGACTCTGGGGCTGCTTACGACACTGTAGCTCTGGGGCTGCAAAAAGCCCCTGAGGCACAGCGCAGCATGAAGCTGCAGCCATTCCTTGAAGCTTCAGCTGGCCCAGCTCGGCCCAGCAGTACAGCGCAGTACTCCAGTTGCCCCAGCCCAGTTCAGCCACCCTGTACTCTGAGACCTCTGCCAGCCTCCATTCTGCTACCCCAGCTGACCTTCACCATTTACTTGCTCCTGCAGCTGACAAGGCATGTCAGGCCATCTTCTCCAGGTCTCGTAAGGAAACTGCCATGTGCAACTTTAGGAACTGTTATACGTCAGCAGCTGCCTTTATTTATTTATTTAGATGATTTATATGGCCGCCCACTCGCTCTCAGTGACTCTGCTAAGCATCAGGTCTTGCATGCTCAGCAGTGGGAGCAAGAAGATGGCTTAGGGCAACAGAGTGCAGAGGGCCAAAGGCCATAGATATGAAGGGAGATAGGCAGGTGGAGGGAGTTGAAGCGCCCCTGTGGTCATAAGTGTAGGTGGCTGCCAAGTGACCGAATTTTGATTACGTGACTGCGGGGGCATTGCAACAGCCATAAATTCGGGGACCATTCACAAGTCACGTTGTTAAGTGCCATTGTAACTTTGAATAGTCAAGTACCTGTAATGTCAGTTTCAGTTTATCATGCAAGAGCATCATATTGTAAGATAACTGAAGCAATCTCTTAATGCTTACTTGTGAAATAAACCTTATTCAGTTCAATATGAATTGTTCCAAAGTAAGTGTGCCTGTTGGAAATGGAATTTTTAAAAAGTCTTTGTGGACAGACTTGAGTTTCATTGGAAGCAAAAAAAAGAAGAAGTAAAACTTACTTTCCTGAGAAACTTTTATACTAGATTTAAACTCCCATTACCACGCATTAGTTCATGGTTTTCTTTTATTTTCTTTAATGTTTCTAGGAAAATTAAGGGGATGGGAGGACATGGTTATAAAAAAGTAAAATTGTTCCTTATTTTTGATATCGGTTTGTCTGTCCTTCATTGGGAGGAGGAGAGAAGATGAAGCTGTTCTAGAACCATTGCAACATACAGTCTTTCCTGCTCTACTTTAGTAATCAAGATAGACATATTTCACTTAATAATGTGGCATTACAGGTCATCTAACACTTTCAGCAGCTATTCAAATTTGTGATGTCACTAAATGAGTGGAAGTTACAAACAGTCCTCAAAGTTATGGCTGCTACAATGTCCCTGCAGTCACACGATCATACTCCGAGTCCTCAACAACCAGCCTGAGTTTCCCATTATTGCAATTTGCGACTTTCCTGTCAGCGTTATCAAGTTAGACCCAGACAGGAATCAATGCCAGATAAGCTAATTCTAGTTTATTGTTAAGGTACATTAACATTAACAGAACCTTGCAAGTGTGAAAGAACAATTTTCCTGCCTTTATAGCCTTAGGGTGGGTCCCTCCTGAGTCCCTTCCTCCACTCACTGTGGAGTTGTGGGCTATGCTCCCTCTTATTTGACCATTCTCTAGGCAGAATTTCTTCACCTGGTCTCCCAACGTCATTTTCATATATTACATTTCCCTGCTGAGTTATTGTTTGTTTAACAAGCTATAATTGGCTTGGTTCCCACAAAATTCTAGGCATGAAGCCTGCTTTACAAACTGTGATGGCTAGATTCATATAATGCAATAAGAAAAACCAAGGAAACAATGTCATCGTCTGTGTCACTTCATGAACCCAATTATTCTCAATATTTCGCTGACTTTTTTTCCCCTCAGGGGTTATATGGTGATGGGAGATTCTTTTAATACTTCTCTCTTCAAGCAAACCTTCCAGAGAGTGTTTAACAAAAATCTCAGTGGAGAATTCCGAATGGCTTTTGGAGCAACTCTAGAAGTGAAAGTAAGTGTGATAGGTACTGCCTATAATTGAATGTTTTCCTAGCCAAAAGAATTGCTAATCTGCATTGCTTACAGTAACTTTTGATTTCAGAGAGACCTTCCATTCTTTACTTACTCTCTCATGATGGAAAAGAATAGTTTCTGTGCAGCAATAGGAAGCTAACATTGTTGAATTATCTCAATATTTTATAATCTCTATGTTATTTGAAACTCAAGTTCTAAATGAAGGGTCTTGGAAGGAAAGGTTTGTCGTGCTAAGGTATCATCAAGAGATCAGTTAGGTCAGCGGTTCTCAACCTATGGGTCATGACCCCATTTGGGGTTGATCGACCATTTCACGGGGGTCGCCAAGCAAGGCTGTCCGCCATTTTTTTGTCTGCCATTTTTTTCCCTTTTCCGGCGGGTGCCTTACCTCCCTTGGGCTGGGCCAGCTGGTGGTCGGCCTGCTCCGTCTCTGCCGCTTGCCAGCTACGCCTCGGCCGGCGCAAGGGGCGGAACCACGCATGCGCGGCGCTCTCGGGCAGGGAAAGTCCTCGACCTACGACCGGTTGGGTAGTCCTCGACTTACGACCGGTTTAGTCCTCGACTTACAACCGGTTGGGGGTCACGGCATTAAAAAGGTTGAGAACCACTGAGTTAGGTAGTTATTATTGCTTGAGTTTAATTTGGAACTTTTTTTTTATTATAGACTTGTAGAGAACTGAAGATAGCTGGAGCTATTGGACCATGTGTATCCTTAAATGCCAAAGGGCCAAGTGTTTCCGAAAATGTAAGTTTTTTTTCATGATGGGTAAAAAGCACAGGTAGTTCTCGACTTGTAATCGGTGCTTAATGGCCGTTTGAAGTTATGGTGGACATCCCCCCAAAATATACTTATGACCTGATTGTGAAATTAGGCCATTGCCGTGTCCTCACATTCATTCACCCTTATGACCAATCACAGAGATGCTGCAGCTCCTCTCTCCCCCCTCGTGCTTACAAGCATTTCCCTCCACCAGTGGCTCCCTGCTGGCCTTAAGGCTGATTCTCACCCCACCTTATCCCACACATTTCTCCTTACTTAGAGGTGAGCTCCAAAGCTTTCCATAGTGCTGGAATGGGTTGCTCAGCTACATGGTGCAATTCTGGAATCACCCCACATGGGCAGGGGACAAACCACTCCATTTTGCTGTCTTCACACAGGTTGTGCAGTGTTGCGGAAGTGGCTGCCCTTTTGCCCCCACCTGCTTATGGTTGGGGACAAAATGGTGGCCACAAGCCAAACCACTCTATTTTGCTGTCTTACTGAGGTTGCACAGCACTCCAGAAAGCTTCTGTAACACTGTGCAAACTGCATTAAGGTATCTCAAGGACTATCTGTACACAAATTTGATATGCATATATTGGTTACCCAGATCAGAGGCGGATAATTAACAATGGCCAATTAACAGCCGATGCCTTCAAAATTATTGAACTGAAATTTAGTGCTATTTTTTAAAAAAACAGAACAAAACAACAAAAAGAATTTTAAAAAATCACGCACACTTCTTTCTTGGATGTAAACATTCTTTAAACAAAGAATCTCTGAATGGCAAAAAACCGTTTCTTACTCTTGATTTAGAATACGTGAGAATTTGTTATGCTGTTGAGAAGGGACTGATTTTTGGAAAAAGACTAAGACAAGAGTATGCAAAGAGCAAAAGAAATCATGGTTAAAAGGAATAATTTTTGGTTTTTGTAATGTACTTATGGGGGCTGCAGAAATATGAAAAGCTTTTGTGTGGGTAGGGCTGACAGAAGAGGAGAAGAAAAGATGGGAAATAGCTGTGCAGGAAAAAAGTAGTGGAAAAACATTTTCTGGAAAATAGATTGCTTTAGGTGATAGTGAGAGAACATGCTAGAAATGCTATTGTTTTGTGACAAAGAATAATACTTAATTGTAGCAAATTCTTTACCTTTGGCAGAAATGTTGTTTAGGAGTAAGCCCTCTTAAGAATACAAAACAACCCACTATTTTAGGTTTTTCACATTTACTTATTGGCATAAACAAGGCTTTATTATTTGTAGTTTAATGTACAGATAGTCCTCGACTTATGACCACAACTGAGCCCAAAATTTCCACTGGTAAGCAAGACAATTATTAAGTGAATTTTGCTCCACAGTTAAATGAATCACTGCAGTTGTTATGTTAGTAAAACTGTTATTATGTTTCCCTGAAAATAAGACCCAGTCTTATTTTTTTTTTTTCCTCCAAAAGAGGCACCAGTTCTTATTTTCGAGGGGTGTCTTTTCCACGGTCTCACCTCATGGCAGTGGCGGCACCGACAGCCCCGCCCAGCCAGCCCACTTCTTCTGTGGCCGCTTGCTGCTGCTCGCGCAGGTCACTCCATTTCACCGTCAGAGCCCTTCTGGAAATGCCCCTGCAGCTGAGAATGGAGCTCTGGATTGACGCATGCGGCACCCCCTGGCCTGCATTTCACTGTTAGAGACCTTCCGGAAAGCCTCTGCAGCTAAGGACTGAGCTACGGATTCAATCCATAGCTGCAGAGGCCTTTCCGGAAGGCCTCTGATGGCAAAATGCAGGGTGGTTGCAACACGCGTGGTGACAAGCAGCCGCAGAAGAAGTGGGCCAATGAGGTGAGGCAGGTGTCAATTCATGGGAGGCCTGGCTGCAACAGTAACCAGGTGTGAGGCGTGTGGGGCAGCTCCACACCCTCACCCCCACCCCCACTTGATTTTTAGGTGTGTACCTCGCCCCAAAGCTAGAACGTATTTTAGGGGTAGGGCTTATATTAGGCCTGCCCCCCAAAGTCAAGGTAGAGCTTATTTTTGAGGTAGGATTTACTTTTGGGGAAACAGAGTATTAAGTGAATCTGGCTTCCCCATTGACTTTGCTTCTCAGAAGGTCACAAAAAGGTGATCACATGACCACGGGACACTGCAACTGTCATACATATGAGTCAGTTGTCAAGCATCTGAATTTTCAGCATGTGACCATGGAGATGCTGCAGTGGTCGTACATGTGAAAAATGGTCATAAATCACTTTTTCCAGTGCTGTTGTAACTTTGAATGGTCACTAAATGAACGGTTGTAAGTTGAGGACTACCTGTACTTAGTTTTCCTTTTTATAGGTTTACATTTATTAAACACTTACATCCTGAGGTTTTTTTCTTTTTTCTTTTTTTTAATTTCCACTGTCCTTGTCCATTTTAAATGTGAATTTTAATATATTACAAAATAATGCAGTTTTCATCTCCAGATTCTTTCTATGTGGTTAGGTGATTGACTCACATTACATATTCCTAACTGATACTTTAAGATGTTTAGAGAATTGTACCTCTTAATATGCAGTTTATATATAGGAATTATGGAGGTTTTTTTGTTGGAACACAAATAAATATGTATTAGCATCAATGAACAGGGAGAGGAGTATAGATTGATTACTATTCCCTCTGTAGCTGTGAGCTAATAATTATATATTTCACTGTATCTTTAAATGTACACACAAGTTCTTTATCACGGATATGTCAGTAATATGTGTTGTAAAGTCTAAATAATATGTAGAAGCTATAGTGTGTGTATGTATATGTGTATATGTATGTGTGGGTATATATCTACAGTATATATCTCTACATCTATCTATCCAGCCAGCCAGCCATCAGCATGGCATGACATGACATATGACTTAAGATTTTAGAATAAAACCTGAATTTTGAATTGTTTCACAGGAGCTTGGGATAGGTGGCACATACCAATGGAAAATTTGTGGTCTTGACCCCACCATGACTCTTGCCATTTACCTTGAAGTAGTAAATCAGGTGAGCCTAGTTTTTTTGTTTTTTTTAAAAAATATCTTTGTAATATTGTATATAGTGCAGAATCCATTGATGGGAAGACCAAGGAGACAGTATGTGCAAAAAAACTGCTGTTATTCCCTCAGCCTTATTGCTGAAACTTTGATGCCATTAAGATCAATAGATGTTTAGATAAATTAGAGAAGTCTTTTGTGTGAAATATGTAAAATATTTTTAAAAGAATCTGGGTATACCAAGAAGAGACAGTATTGAGCTATAATGCAGGTAGGAAACACTAGTATTATCTGTTCGAAGATCTAGATCCCAAGTTCCTCTGCTTGAGATTAATGAAGATTTTATTAAAATTAAGAGCAGTTAATGCTGGGAAGGAAAATCTGCAGTAAGCTCAATTTGTCATCTTAAGGAAGACTCAAACCTATCTAAAATGGCATGCTCACATTCTTGTTCTCCCCCCCCCCCTTTTAAATAGCAGAATCATTTAAAATTCTGGGTGGTCTTTTCAGGAACGTCAATAGGAGTTCTAGGCCCATTTACTAAGAGTTAAAAGTAAACTGCTTTATGTTTAGTAAACCTTACTTGAAGGCAGAAATTGCTTATTGCACTTTCAGTCTAGTTCTAATTACTTTTGGACCTATATGTTAGTATTTGTATTCTCTGTACCTCCAAGAAGCCAGTGTGTTAGTTGTAAATGAGTATATTATACTGCTTGTACTTCATTTTTAATCCTATATGACGATGTCAACCTGTCTTTAAAATGTAAGGTGTATCTTAGACAACTTTTATCTCATTGACTTTCAGCACAGCACTCCAATACCTCAGGGTGGAAGAGGAGCTATCCAGTTTGTTACGCATTATCAGCATTCCAGTACACAGAGGCGCATTCGTGTGACTACTGTTGCTAGAAAGTGAGAATAATTTATGAAAATTAGGTTTGGTTCGGTTGGCTGTATTTCTTGCTATTGCATAAACTGTAGTGCTTGAGCCACATTAATAGCATACTCAGCATTGTGACTGGAGGGATGAGCTGCTGATTGTCCCACAGATGATTAGGTCAAACACCTGGTTTCTCTGTTGTCAAGCTGGCCTTTCCAGCCACCTTTGTGGCAGCCTTCTATAGTCTTCCTTCTAAATATTAAAAAATGAAGGAAAAAAAATACAGCAATCCAATTGGGAATCAGAACCCTAACATTTGAGGTGAAGGTCCCCAGTCCCTTCATGATCTTGATTAATCTGCCCTTCATGGGAGATGAAAGAAATATGCCTAACTATCAAGTGATGGTTGCTGATAGTCAGCTAACCAGAGATTTGGATTTGAATGATTTGCTCAGCCATGGTTTAAGATTAAACTAATTTATGATTAGAAATTGTGATTAAGGGACTCCGCCATGGTATATTGTATAAACCAGAAATAAAATAGTTTATGAATCTGATGTGGACCATCAGTTCATTTTTGTGGCTGATATAAAAATGATATAGAGCAGGGGTGTCAAACTGCCAGCCCGTGGGCTGGATGCATCACGCCAAAACTGCGCCCACCCCATTACCGGCAGTGGGAAAAAAGTCACGATACGTCGCAACACGTCACGTGACGTCACGAATTTGACACCCGTGGTATAGAATGAACATAAGCTTCTGTAAATTATTGGTATTTATGGCATTTAATAATCTAAATTTCACTAATTCTTCATAAACTAGTTGGGCAGATGCACAGAGTCAGTTGCAGCACATTGAAGCTGCATTTGACCAAGAAGCAGCTGCTGTCCTGATGGCTCGATTGGGTGTCTACAGAGCTGAATCAGAGGAAGGGCCTGATGTCTTGCGATGGCTGGATAGGCAACTAATTAGACTTGTGAGTATGATCAATTGTAAGCTTATAAATTTTAGAATCAAATTGATGATTGCTTGATCAGGCATATTCTCCTCACCATGCTGCATTCCAGAAGCTTTGATCCTTGTCTTCAAAATTCCAAATGAAAATGCTGATTAGTATGTTTTCAAATTGCTTTTCAGAAAATAATTGGTTCAATACATACACATTCATTTTGTGACATTTAGCTAGTTCAAAAAGAAATAAGCTTGGACGCTATTCATTTTATGTGGCTATATTGTACTACTGAGATGCATTAGACAGCCCATGTCCCATTAGGTCATTGTTTCAGAGATACTTCCTTATCTAAACAGGGAAATAGAATGACCAAGGGCAGGCAAAAAAAGCAGTGGGAGCAGGAGCAACTTCCTGCTTCCTGCTGGCTTCCCCTTTGAGTTTTCTTGTGGGAATTTGGGAGAGAGCCTCCTAAATCTTTTTGTCTTGGCAGGCAGGCAGGCAAGTGGCTGCTACTGGATGAGGGAGGGAGGGAGAGAAGGATGTAAGACAGGCTGGGAAACTGTCACAACTTACCCAAATTTCATTCCCTTGGCAGTCACGGGTCTCTGATTTTGGACACATTTTGTAAGTTAGCTCAGTTGAGGTACCTTGGCTGAAAATTGTTGCCCTCTTATGTATTATGTTTTGCCCAATTAAATGTCATGACAATGAGAGCTTAATACTATATGGATATTCAACTTAGCTATTAATGGCTAAAATGCAAAATATTAATTAAAACTAAAACTAATAATTAAAAACTTGGTGAAAAAGATTTTGGCTGTTCTTCTAAAAGTATAGGGAATGGGCGCCGAATGCTGCTCTTAAGAAAGTATAGTTGTTAGACTAGAAATGATCCTGGAGGGGGCCTTCTTCCTTTTGCCTATGAAAAATAACTCTGAAAACAGGGCCATGTTCAGAATGGCCTCTCATTTAAATCTTAGTGTCCAGTTTGGTCTAGTGGTTAAGACACTAGGATAGAAAACAAGTGTAGGAATGGACCAGGCTGAGCCCGAGGGCAGGGACAAGAACAACATCAGAATGGAATCCCTTTCCTGGCTCCTGGTTTCTTGCTCCTGACAGTGGGAGATTGTGAGTTCAAATCATCCCGTAATCATGGAAAGCAGCTGGGTAACTGTGGGCCAGTCACTGTCTCTCAGGCCAACTCTCACAGGATTGTTGTGGGGAAAATAGGAAGAGGAAGGAGTATTTGAGATATTCACCGCCTTATTTGTAAATAAAAATAAAAATAAAATAAATAGTAAAATAATAAGATCTTCAGATAATTAAACCAATTATAAACATCATGCAATACCAGCAACACACTCTTAAGTAGGAGCCTACCCTGTACCATCTGAAATTTCTGGCCACTTTCACAAAGAGCATGTTGCAGTAGTCAGAGCAAGATGCAATCAAAGCCTGAATTAAATGTTGACTGGCTTAAGTATAGTTACAGCTTGGATGCTAAACATAATTTCCCAAATATGATATGCCATAACAGTTACCTAGGAAGCCAATGGCATATTAGCATTATGTAATACTACTCTAATTATGGACCTACTGTTTCAGGAAGAGGTCAAATGTTTCTGGTGGAAGCTAAAATTCAATCCTCAAATTAAGGTTTGGTTTTTTTTTAACCAGTGGCACATCTGTCTTAGTATTCAAAGATACTGATTGCATCCATGAAATTAGATGGCAAGGAATTATGGAATTAAATCCTAACAGGCTACTAACCATGCTCTCACTCCCAACGGTCCCTCCCAGCAGTTCATGGAATTGTTGACCTACACAGGGGCAAGATGACACAAAATTATAAGTGTAGTGTTCAATCCTGAGCCTGTTTTAAGCCAAAATATGATTGTTCAAAGCTGACTACTATATTTAATCCCAATTAATTACATATAAATTTACCAGATACCATCAAATGCTTGACAAAGTCTACATTAGGCTTTTATAGTCTATCATGATGTTTATGATATTGTGCATCTGATGTCCTGAGAAGCAATTTTCTCCTAATTATTTTGAGACACTATCCTTTTATAAAATATAATTTTGGTTATTAGGCATATTAGAAACACAGGAAATGAAGTGACAAATTTTATTTTCTTCTGTATTATAAACAATATTTTTGAAAAAAATAATAAATTTACTCCAGGTGATGTGTTCCTTTGTAAGATTTGTATTGTCTTCAAGGGATTATTGAAATGTGCATATTTCTCCAACAGTGTCAGAAGTTTGGACAATACAGCAAAGATGATCCAAATTCTTTTAGGCTGTCCGATTCATTCTCCTTGTATCCCCAGGTAAGATGATCTGTCTCAAAAACGTTAAAGAAATAAAACAATTCATAAGAAGTTGCAGTTAGCCTCCAAGATATTTCTATGGTTATGAGAAGACTGTATTGAATAGTAAAATGTTTTATGTTTAATATATGCCTTTTCTTTTTTGTATTTGTGTCTCAAAATAATTCAGACAAGCAAAGAGACAGGAAATGAAGATTAAAGCATATATTTTAATTATACTCATTATGACTTCTGTTTTTTCTGTTTCATTTAGTTCATGTTCCACTTGCGACGATCTCCATTCCTTCAAGTATTCAATAACAGTCCAGATGAATCTTCTTATTACCGCCATCACTTTGCCAGGCAGGATTTGACCCAGTCTCTTATTATGATTCAGCCAATACTTTATTCTTACTCATTCTATGGACCACCTGAGGTGATTCTCCTTCTATGTTTGCTTAATTGAAAATAGTGATTTAAAAAAGTTTAATAAAATTGATGTATGTTCAAAATAGGATGTAGCATTTTTAATATTAGCAGATAAATAAATATTTCAAATTTACAGTCTTCAAAGAAGAATATTTTTTTTAAAAAAAATATATATTTTATTGATTTTTAACATAATCACCTTGATATTTGGTAAACAGCGTGTTGTCTGGGTTAGTATTTAAAAAACAATCAATAACAATTAATTTCTATAATTCTATAGTCCATATAATGACTTTGCTTGATTTTCTCTTCTTCCAATAATATTCTCTTTGGCAACCTTAAATTAATACAGTTCTTATTATTTGAATAAATGACAAATATAAACATTTTTCTCATGTTTCTGCAAATAATAACCACATCAATATTAAGCTTATTTTCTAATTGATCATCTTGATTGTCTCTTCATAGATCCTGTTTACAGAATTCTTATTTAAATTTGTTTTCCCCACAATATTGAAAACATTCTTATTGGTTAAGATTTTCTTAAAATTAGCCTCATTTAAGTATTTAAGTCTTTTTTTCTCATAGAAGCCATCTCAACACTTTTACATTTCTCATATCTTAAAAAAAAGAAAGAGAAAACAAAAAACCAAAACATTTATTTTATATAAACCATCCCAACATTTTTATATTTCTCATGTCAAAGAACAAAACACAAAGGAAAAAAGAAAGAAACAATACTATGTTACTTGAGGGGTTCATCCCTCTTAAACTAATCTTCATTTATATCCAAAATCTTTCTATTTCTTTAACCATATTCAAACAGATGTGTAATTTTTAAATATTCCCTCTGGTAAATCCCATCATCTAATTTCTTAATTCTCACTTTAGCCTTTTTTTTGCCAAACATCTTTCCTGATCAATATGCTTTGCTGAATCAAAGAATCTTTCCATAATCTTAAAAATGTTGTTGCAGGTACAAAAGGCAAAACAGGTAAGATGTTTTTATAGGAAGGTTTCGCCCCTTCATATTCATTGAGAATTTTTTCCTTTCTTTCTTTCTTGATTTTATTTATCAGTTTTTGTCTCTAAAGTTCTCGTAGTTCTCCTGGCAGAATCCATTTTGTCAAATATTTTTTCTTGTCCTCAAACTTATTTTTGTAATCTTAGAGTATAGGTTACCTTTTCCATGTCCTGTATTTCCTGTAAGATTTTTTCCATCTGGGTTAAGTCATACTTTCTTCTATTGTTAAATTCCATCTTGAAATCTCTCTCCTCTATCTCGTATTCAGTTGTCTATTTTTTCTGCTCATTCTCTTGTTTTTATTTTCTGAGAATTTTTGTGTTGTAAAATTAAATTGGAGATGTGTTAATTTATATTTTCAAAGTTATTTTTAATTTCTTCAAAGTTTTGATTTGAGATCATTGTTGTTTGGATTATTGCAGCATAACATAGATCTCCTTCTGGAAAGTATTTGTTTTTTCTTGGTATATTTTTTCTGCAGATCTCTGGTTTTCCATGATAGCTAAAAATCAGGCTTTTCCTTTTTCTGCAGACAGCTTTAGAGTCACAGTTGAGTTGGTATTTGTAATCCAGAAAGGTCAATTCTTTTTTTTAGAGTTTATAATTCTCATTTTGTAGATAGCCCAAAATGTTTTCTTTCTTTTTTGTGACAGCTGTTCTCTGTTATTAAGACATTGAAGGTCACCAAAAACAAGTTATCTTTTCCTGGGCTTTGCCAGTCCCTGTAATAAATCAACTGCTGTTATATATTTTCATCCACCACTAGGTGTCAGCACCAGTCAGTAATAGACAATTGTTTACTTCTATTTTCATCATTTAAAAGGAAAATCTTAACAGATTCCACCAATTTCAAACTTATCCAAATTAAGTCTTATATTCATTTCATTTCAGTATATTTCTGTTCCCCCTGAAAAGTGTAGTTTGCCGCTTCCATCTGTAGGAGGGTGGGACAAAGATTCTCCCCACTCTCACTTTCGGAGACTTTTTGCTTCTTGGAGTTTTTCTCCCCCCCCCCCCCCCCCGGAAATCAATTTTGAAGTAGAAGAGAGAAAATCACTGTTCTTACCCAGTTCCAAACACGTTGTTTACAGTCAGCTTAAAGTAGTGCTTTTGGGTTTTAGGCTGCTCGTAGCTTGGGCTAGACTCTGAGGTTAAGCTAGCCTTTCTCCTGCTGGTTTCTTTATGGCTTTTCCCAAACCGATCGGATCAACTGCTGTCTCTCCGCAATCGGTGGGACTTCCTTCCTTCTTTGTTGCCTCTATGGGGAACCTCAGGCCCATTTAGGGCCCCCTAGCAGGCAGAAATTGACCCGAAGGATGCAGAGCCTTGTGATCTCTTGACTGCTGCGCTACTGCACAAAACCAGAAGCCAAGAATAGAAATTTTAGGGGCGCATCTTTTCAAATTCTGCAATCAAAAATGAAGTTTGGTTAAAATTGTGTTATATTTACCTTCTTATTTGTAAGATTATGCTTTCCCCTTTTGTGTCTTGCAGCCTGTGCTATTGGATAGCAGCAGCATTCTTGCTGATAGGATTCTGCTGATGGATACTTTTTTCCAGATTGTTATCTATCTTGGTGAGGTAAATAAGAAATTAATTCTTATTAATTTAAATGAAAGACAAGGAAATTATATGTTTGGTTTTTAGACCAGCTATTGCTGAAGTCTCTAGGTGATGCATAAAACAGAAAATATATCAGAAACTAAACTATATAAAATTATACAATCTTGTGTTAAAATAGAATAATTTATTGGCAAAAATTTAAATTTGTAAAATAAGCAATTAAGTATTGTAGGTTAATTGTTAGAGTTTCTAAAGCCTCCTTAAAAAGTCAGTGAGTTTCTTCCATCGAAACTTTGCAATTATAGCAAATGGCAGCCAGCCTCTGACCACCATTAGAAATGAGCCTTTCCAGGTAACCAAAATCGGGGAGAGGAGTCTTGCATAGCAAGGCAGTCTCTCAGATATCTCAGGTACACTGCTTTTTTTTTAAACCCCTTATCTGAACTGAGAGTATACAAGCCATATACTTACTAAAAAAACCCAACACAGACTATGATCTTAAGGAGAAGAATCTGCTGTTATGTTCACACTGACAAAGTCTTAATGACTTTTTATTATACGTGTAGATTACTAATCAGCAATTTGAGGAGACTGTATCAAATACTGATGGCAACCGCAAGTGGATTGGAACCATAACAAGCTCCTTTTCCTTCCAAAGGCCTTTCTTTGCCTTCATTTTGTACACAAGGCAAAGCACAATTGGCTTAGAACCAAATTAGCACAAGTGTTGGTGGTTAAATAAAAGTGGTAATTAGAACAAGATTCATAATATTGATAGTTTTTTTTTTAATATTCTCAGGCAAGCTATTTTCACCAAACAGTTGCCTGGCATTATTTGCTTGGTTTCATTGATTTTTTTTCTAAAACGTAAAATAAATCATATATAAGGATTTTGTGCATGATATGAATCAGGCAGTAAAAAGAGAAATATTTATGAAAGTTCCTTAATTAATTCCTCTCTTAACATTGTTTTCCACAAGACTATTGCCCAGTGGCGTAAGGCTGGTTATCAAGATATTCCAGAATATGAAAACTTCAAGCATTTACTGCAGGCTCCTCTGGATGATGCTCAAGAAATCTTGCAGACAAGATTCCCAATGCCACGCTATGTTAACACAGAACATGGAAGCAGCCAGGTAAGGAAGACTTACAGAATTCAAAGTGCATTAATAAAGGTGCCATGGCAATATTTATAGTTAATATTGGTTTTAATATATTCTTAATATATCAGTCTTGAACCTTTGGAGAGATTTCACCTCATCCAGCACAAGTTGACTCTGAGGATAATGTCAGGTGAGAACCAGTGTGGTATAATGGTTAAGAGGATGTACTGGCACCAGGGACAGCTAGATTCTAGACTATCCTCAGCTAAAGAAACTCATGGGATAACTTTGAGCTAGTCATTATCTCAGCCCAATCTATTTTGCAAGATTATTAGGAAAACACAACTAATACTAATTCTTCATCAATCTTTCCCTGAAAGAAGAAGGATTTTTTTCTTCCTAGGGTTATTGAGCTGCTTCAGACTTTGGCCTGTCTTGTTCTTGGCAATGTCCTGCTTGGAAAGGACCAAGAGGAATTAAAATGTTCTTGTGCTACAGTTACAAGCCTAGAAATGTATGCCCATTGTCCAGCACTCAGGCTTGGTTAAATATTTTTCATATTGAAAAACTCATATTTTTGCAATATCTGTTACTATTAGGCCTTATACTGGCTTAGCTGAAAATCCAGTTCTCCAGAAATTAATCCATTATTCAGGAACTGGCTTACTGGGCAGAAGGCTCAAAGAATAACATAGCTAGTTTTTTTTATTGCAGTCAAAGGCACTGAAGTTATATATGCAGCGTATCTGTCTACTGTGGTACATAATGGTTAAATGTATACATATTCTCCAAAGCACCTGAAGACAGGACAAGAAGCAATGGATGGAAACTAATCAAGGAGAGAAGCCACCTAGAACTAAGGCGGAAATTTCCTGCCAGAACAATTAATCAGTGTAACAACTTGCATCCAGAAGTTGTGAATGCTCCAACACTGGAAGTTTTTAAGAAGAGATTGGAAATGGCTTCCTGCCTGAGCAGAGGGTTAGACTAAAAAACTTCCAAGGTCCCTTCCAACTCTGTTATTCTGTTCTGGTCTCCAGAGTTTAAATACTAGGCTTTTTCCTACCACCTTTCTGAATAAACCAAAACTTGGCCACTTTTTTGGTCTTGAGGGGCAATTGTTGTTTGCTGGCAGAATTCAGGTAGTCCTCACATTATGCTAGCAATTGGGACTGGAAATTCCATTACTAACCATTGCAGTTGTAAAGCATGTTTCACATGATTTCAGTGCTTAGTCATAGCAGTCCCAGTTGCTTTCATAACCCCAAGACTATATAGGTCATTAAGTGAGGATCTCGTGACTAAGAAGTAGGAAGAAGTGGGAATCTCAGGCAAGCAGATCTGTGGATGAGAGCTAGGGTGGGCAAGTGCCACGAGGAGTGCCATGAGCAGGCACTACAGAGTATACTGATACCTTAGATGAGTAGGTGGATAAAAAAGCAGCAGAAGCCATTATAACTTTGTGGGTTTGCTGAATGAATGGTCATAACCGCAGGACTACCTATAGTGCTGTCTAACCTGGAAGCTACTGATAATGGCTTGCATCTGTTTATAACAGAAACTATTCTTTAAGCACTCATTATTTCAAAATATGAATTTGCTTCTTGTTTTCTTTCTTCTACTTTCTTTCTTTTCCAAATAATCCTATTTAATTTATTCTGAGATGTATTAAAAGGAAATATGCAAGTAATGGCAAATTTATGTGACAAATCTTAATTATATTCCATTTACACTGCTTATTTTGGCTTTGACAGGCACGGTTTCTCCTATCTAAAGTGAATCCTTCTCAGACGCATAATAATCTGTATACATGGGGGGGACAAGTAAGTAATGATGTGTTTGGATCTGTGTCTATTGTGCATGCACTTACAATTTATGACATATATTACGTAAGGAGCAGGAATTTGTCACTTGATTTTGTCCATTTAGCAGGGTTGGGCTATGTTAACTGCAAAATTCCTCTGAGCCTCCAGTGTTTGAAAGATAGACAATAAATTATATGGTTTATGGGCCAAAACTGCATAAACTAGGCTTGGAATATTCATTCATTCATTCATCTATTTAAATCTTAATTTTAAAACTTAGAAATAAATAAAAGTACAATAGGAGTTAACATGGTTATACATTATGTAAATTATGCTCTAGTTTTCCAATTTTCCTATATTTTATGTTGGTTCAAATTTTGTTTCTAAACTATAACTTCTTATTCCAGGAATCTGGTGCTCCAATACTAACAGATGATGTTAGTCTACAAGTATTCATGGATCATCTAAAAAAGCTGGCTGTATCAAGCGCATCCTAATTTTGATACTAAAGTCTTAAAAATCAATAATTGTATTAAATCATGCTGTTGATAGACTACAGTCTACCAAGAAACTAATAACATTCCTTTCATTTTTTTTAAATCAAAGTTTTAATTAGCCCATATAAAAAGGGAAAATTTACATTTTAGATTTAACTTATTGATATACTTGTCTTTATTCTGCAAATTCTTCATTTTCATGTTCTTATACCAAGATTATAATTTGCATTTATACTGTCCTGCATAGTTCATTTTTCTGCTCTTACAACTAAGCAAAATAAAATTTGAAAATAATGTTAATTCTTAGTGTATTATGTTCTCTACCACTGATGAGGACAGGGTGGAAGGTTTACCATTCCTAATTTTCTGGTTTGGATAGATGCAATGAATTAGCATTGCCAGAGTATGAACAGTTTTTTATTACATAAGTAGATATGTAAATTGTACAGGTTGATATAAATGGTTAAATGTATGATAAATTGAGGAATTATCTGAATATTAAAGTAATTTAAGAAGCAAAACAATCTCAGCAGTCACACAAGATTCTGTTTTGTAATAAAATATCCTGAGTAGATATACTACATTCTTCAGCTATGAGAAAAAGAGAAGAAAGCAAAAAACAGTTACACAATTGACAAGATTTAGTGAATACAACCATTCTATAAATCTTGTCAATTGTGTAACTGATTTTTGCTTTCTTCTCTTTTTCTCATAGTTGAAGAATGTAGTATATCTACTCAATATAACATCTCCCTAACTTCTGTTAGATTGTTCAATCTACTTCTAATTATCCCATTTTGATTTAGTTTAGAATTATCAGTAGCCAAGAAAAATGGAAAATGTCAATATTTATCCCAATACCAAAGAAAGGTGATACGAAAGACTGCTCCAATCCACTGAACCATAGCCTTGATACCATAGTGAGTAAAATTATCTTGAAGATAATCTAGCAATGTTTGAATCCAACTGTCAACACAGAACTGCCTGTTGTATAAGCAAGATTTTGGAAAGGAAGAAGAACGTGTGGTCATATTGCCAGTCTGTGCTGGATGATTGAAAAAGCAAAGGAATACCAAAAAGACCTCTACATGAGCTTCATTGACTTCATAAAAGCCTTCGACTGTGTTGGCCATGACAAGCTCTGGAACTGCCTCAAAGAACTGGAAATATCACCACACCACATCCAGGTCATTCAGTCATTGTACTCTGATCAGGCAGCACTTGGAAGAACTGAAATGTCTGGCATGAATAACATCTGGACGAGTAAAGACATCAGCCTTACAGCCAAATGCAGATTATTTATCAAAATAATTTTTCCAATTGCTACTTATGGCTGTGAAACTGACTCTGAAAAAGGGAAGATAGGAGAAGGGTGGATGCCTTTGAACTGTGTGCTGGAGGTGATTATTGTGCATCTCAACTGCAAAAATAACAAAGTCCTAGACTGAACCACACCAAAAAATATCCCTTGAAACCAAGATTGCCAAACCGAGGCTGTCATACTTTGGCCATGTCATGTGAGCTGAGTGATCAGCGGAAAAAGAAGGCCACCCTACTACCTCACTGGTTGGTCACTATAAAGGAGAAGGTCGCCCTAGTACCCCACTGGTTGGACACTAAAGATGATACCAGGATGACCATGGCGGATCTGAAGGAGGCAGGGAGAGACAAGAAGGTCATGGAGAGTGTTGATCCATAGAGTGGCCAAGAGTCAGATAAAGCTGAATGGCTGACGATGATGAGCTTACTCAAATGTTAATTTTAGCTTTTTTTTTTACATTACATAAAATTTAAACTTGTGTACATACGTTGCCTCTTTAACGGTAGGTAATCACTTTCCCTTTGAAAATAGTTGGGTACATTTATTATTATTAGCATTTATTATGGTAAGCAGTAATGTAGGTTGCTTCTTTTCTTCTTGATGTGTGACCCCTGCTGTTACAATTTAGTATTTTCTTTGCACGTGCTATTACAGCTTTATGCCAACAAATATAGCATAGCGTGATATATCTCTTCATAGCAGCTAATGTCTCTTACCTTCAGGGGCAATGGCTAAACAAAGCGTAGTCAAAAGAAGATTGTAAGGAGATGAAGATATCTGGAACATTTCTTTATATAACAAAAGAACATTGATCTATAGATAGAGAAGCATTTTCTTGAGAGGCTGATTATTTCAATTCAGCTATTACCTGGTAAAGAGCAAGAACATTTGTTATTTTAATCAATGTCAAACTTTTAAGTTTTTGGCCTTGTAATGGCTTCCAAATATTTCTCCATTACTCATTACACCCGAGGTCTTCAAACGTGGCCCTTTTATGAATTGTAGACTTCAACTCCCAGAATTCCTCAGCCAGGCATGCTGGCTGAGGAATTTTGGGAGTTGAAGTCTACAAGTCATAAAAGGGCCACGTTTGAAGACCCCTGCATTACACCATCTGTTACCTGGAACACTGCAATGTGCTTTACATGAACTGTCCTTAAAGACTATTTTGGAAGGTACAATTGCTCCAGTGGAGCAGGAAATGTATTGAACTGAGCTCTGGTGGCACAGTGGTTAGAATGCAGTATTGCAGGCAAACTGCCCACAGCTAGGAGCTTGAAATTGACTCAGCCTTCCATCCGAGGTCACTAAAACAAGGACCCAGATTGTTCAGGGCAATATGCTGACATTGTAAGTCACCTGGAGAGTGCTGTAAAGCAAGTCTAAGTGCTATTGCTATTGCATTGTAAGCTGCCCAAAGTCACTTTGGATAGCAAAATGGATGGCATATAGATTTAATATTTTTTAAAAATGTTTCACATGCTTTGATATGCCCATGTGATACCACTGCTCCATAAACTGTACTGGTTGGCAATGACCTTCTGGATACAATTCAAGGTGCAGCTTATCAAGTATAGGTAGTTCTAGATATCAGACTGGTGGACAGCTTCTGCCTTCTAGGATCAACTATCAATAGTAAAGAACAATGCAAGTTGGTTTCAGAATTAGGCAGTGCTTTTTTTCTAAAAAAAAAAAAAAAGTGCCGGAACTCACACACGTCATACAACCCGCCTTGTCTTATCCTACAAGGTTCCATCCAAAAAAGGTGCTGGAACTCCGTTCTGGGCATTCTATGAGAAAAAAAAGCCCTAGAATTAGGTATCCTACGCACAATTATAAGTCTGAATCAAAGACTTTGGAGAACTTGTAAACTTAACACTTAAACTTACAAACTTTAATTTGTATTTTTATTGTGTGCTCCGGTGAGTGCATTGATATATAGTCTTGCTAATGGAAAGGTCTGCAAACTTCTCCAGCAGGTTGTATGAAAAGCATGGTGGGATTGTCTGCAAAAAGATTAACAAGCTGAGAACATTTGATAACTGCTCTACCCTAAAGAGAGTTGAAGAGTTTCATTCAGGATGGAAATCAATCATGGCCGGAAATTGAGTGAGGGCGTTTTTATCCAAACCAATTTTTTCAATCTTGATAACGTTGAAGTTCAACTCTCAGAATTCCTCTCCCCAATAGATGGCCAGGGAATTCTGGGAGTTGAAGTCCACACATTTTTAAATTTGCCAATCTTGAGAAACCGTTAAAACGCTGACATCCAAGCTACGCAAGTTCTGATTGGGAGCCCTGTTAGCTGGGAATTTTGGAAGTTGAAGTCCAGACATCTTAAAGTTGCCAAAATTGAGAACTTCCGGTTTACCGGAACATCTTCAGAAAAGCCAGTTCGACCTGGGAAATTGAGTCGCGTTTCTTAAATGCGGGGGGGGGAGGGCTACCGAGGGCCCGCCACGATTGGCTTCAAGATAGGATATGGCATCAGAGGAGGCGGAGAAAGCAAACCGCGAGGTTAGGTAGCAGCGGAAGCGGGGAGCAAGTTCTCTGCCTCGCTTGGTGTTGATGTAGGGTGCGAACGTAGCGGCCGCTAAAAGGACAGTTGTCCCCTTGGACGCAGAGATGACGAGTGACAACCTCAAGGCGCAGCGGGCCGCCCTGTGGTCGCGTCGATTCGCTCTGCTATACGCGATGGGAGTGTGGACGGTTATTGGGTATTTCGTTTCCCGGTCAGTGCGTTTCAGGGAGATCCCACTGCAGGAGAAGAAGGATCTGCCGCCGCCACCACCGCCACTCGGTATATCCCGAGCGCCGTATATAGATAGATCTTGGGCCCTGGGGAGGTAGTTTTTCGCCTCCGAGTGTTTTCTACGGTTGAATTATTTTGTTGGCTAAACCATTGTTTATTTAAACACAGTTAATTGAATAGCTTGCAACAGTAACAGGGTTCTAGACTTAGTCCAGGGGTAGGCAACCTCGGCTCTTTTATGACTCATGGACTTCAACTCCCAGAATTCCTGAGTCAGCATAGCTGACTCAGGAATTCTGGGAGTTGAAGTCCATGAGTCATAAAAGAGCCGAGGTTGCCTACCCCTGACTTAGTCCATAACTCCCAAACTGCCGTGGTTAAACTCATGCCACACGAACCTAAGCGAAATCGTCCGCATTGTGGCTTAGGGCGATAGGCGTTCCTACTTAGAGAACATTTTTGAACATTACACTCCTTTTCTTTTGGTAGGAAGCAGCTTCTTTATAAAACAAGTGAAATTGAATGGCTTTCTCGGACCATTGACTTCCCTCCAACATAGTACGCTAAGCCATAATTGGTCTTAACTGGCGTTATTCGAATAATAACTGGCCTTAGACAATCCTGAATTGCAAGAAACAGTATACAGAGGTTGATAATATACAATGAAGTGCCGAGTATGTGAAGCCAGTTACAAACATGCCAGGCCTGCTATTCTGGGTTAGCTTTAGATACAAAGGCATTGAGGGAGGGAAGAGCAAATCTGAAAAAATTAGGGAAAATGTTTATTTTCCTGAAGGCTTTTGCTTTTCCCCCCATTAAACTGAAACATTTCAGATAGATTAAAAACTAAAATGAAAATTTTAGAATAATAGATGCAACAAGAAGAGGTGTTCAGAATTTGAATACGGTAGACAATGTCCAAAGAAACAACCTATGCAGGGAAACTGCTTGTGCTTATTTCCTGAAAATAAAGATATGTGGTCAGAGACATAATTTTATATGATTTTGATAGTTTCTTCTGTTTTAAACTATTATTTTTAGCCGAACAGTATTAAGTGATCTTAAGGTTGCAGTTGCAGTTTACAGTTTTGGTGTTGACAGATTTAAAATGGATTAGGGTAAATTAGTAAACCCAAGTGTCTCAATGAATCATATGTTTACATTTAACATGCTAAGCACAATACAGTAATTTTAAGTAACCCCAGGTATGCATAAGGCAGTTTTTTATGTTCTAAGACTACCAAACTGAATTTGAGTAAAGGATGGTAAGAGAATTAATATATTTTATATTTAAAATTTCTGCCCAAACTCTTATTTTTTCCTGGAAAAATGTTTAATAAAAAGAATCTCTAATTTTGAATTATAGTTTATATCTCATTGGCTCAAAATATGCTAATATGCAAACTTTCACACTGTAATTTTAGGTTAAGCATATTCAAGAAATGCTGTATAATGAATAATTGATTTTTGTACATTTTAATGTGTCATTTTTTTTATTAAAGCAATGCAGATGAAGTTAATAAGACTTTGAAACTTCATTTGTTTTGTAAAAATAGAACTCACTCTTGTATAGTCTGACCACCTAGAATTCTTATCTTTATCCATTTAGATGACAACGAATATTCCAGAAATGTTTGACAAGAGCAGAAGATCAAGACTGAAACTGGATTCACATTAACAGCAAAAACTAGTTCATCTGTTTTTGTGCCATATTCTTCTCATTTGCATAATCAAATGCTGTCACTTTTTTATAATAATACTGGGAAAGAAAAGTAAATTATATTGAAAAAAAGAGATTATCACAGTGTCTATAACTTATTGAAGAGTTGCATGAGATCTGACTTTGAAATAACAGTAATTTGAAAATAGTATGTTCTGTCAGCCTATTATGAGACTTTAGCCCTGTTTCACCTTCATGCATTTGAATATATTGTATATAATTTTATATATTTTCTTTTGCTTATAATTTATTTTTAATATCTTTTCCTGAAATTCTGCTAGCATGTGTTTGAAATCATAAAGACTAAATATGATTGATTCCTTATTTCCTCTTACAGAAACTATAAATATTTTTCCCATAGAGCTTAGTGTTTATGATAGCTATCTTTGTTTTCAAGGATAGACAATTTCTGTAGCATTTACCTCTGATGTTGAAATTGGGAAAAGATGTTAGTTTCTGAATATAGTAGAAGTAACTTTTGATCTTGCAGGTTTGAAATCCTCCCGATTGCCAGATACACTTCAGGCTACACATTGCTGATTTCATGACAAGGAATACATTTAACTTTTTTGAAGAAGAGTTTTAAAAGGTGTACAGTATGTGATATTTTGGACTGTTTTTTTAAAACTATGGTGGCATATTCCTTACCATACAGAGTTTCGGGAAGGCTTGTTTTCTTCACCCCTACCTATTTCATTTTTCCACATACTTGTAATGCAGACATGTCAAACTCGTGACGTCATGTGACGTCGCGCAACGAATTGGGACAGTTTTGCCATTGCCGGCAATGGGGTGGTCGCAGTTTCCACATGACACATCTGGCCTGCAGGCTGGCAGTTTGACACCCCTGTTGTAATGGAACATTTTATAAATGTTTTGTTTCTGAGTCTGAATAAGACAAAGTGTAGTTCAACAATGTTACATAGGAAATGTAGTTAAGATACTCCACCTTAATATTTTGCACAAAGTCATCTCTAACTGGTTTAGTATGCTTATACAATGCACAAGGTGATGTGAAGGTTAATATGTAAAAGCATAAGAAAAAGCTGAAGCAAATATATCTGGAAAAACTCTGAAGTTTGCCTAATCATGATAGGTTTATGAGTTCTATTGCTACTCTGTGCCTTTGAGCATTTGCTTGATTGTTTGATGGAAGCTGGCATTTTTAGAATTTGCAAACAACCTCAAGATAATGGTATTCAATGTATTTTGGACCTCAAACATTTTGTTTTAAACAATGATACAAGCAAAATAGAAATGTGAAACTGATTTTTCAGTGTTGTGTAATTATTAACAAACAATATGATCTTAATATAAAGCTATATATTACAACATATAAAAAGGATGAAAAGTTTGGGAACCTGTAGACACGACAACTACTGTATATATATATATTACTTGTAACTCTTCATCAACGCAGCTCTCTGGAAAAAAGACTAGTTCAGTGGCAGACAAATGGTATAAAACATAGCATTATAAAGCAAACCTAAACTATATATGCTCCCCCAAACTGCATCTCCAATACCAAATTGCTTATAAGCTATCTTTACTGAACTTTGTCAATTCTAATGACCTCAAAGCAGTTTTTTATATTGTGTTAACTACAGTTTATAGTTTTTAAAAACTACCAGTTTGAAAGAAAAAAACAACAGATTGAATCTTGTTTTTCCTAAGATCACACAAATAATTAGAGTTTTACAAATTTGATAAATAAAATCTGCCAGGCTGGTACTAGCTCACCATTTCTTACAGTGATTAATGTTTCCTTCAGTATTTTATATTTTATTAGTTATCTTTGTAAATTTTTATATATTAAGAATGATTTATATTCTCGAGATAGCTTTTTAACCTTTATTAAAAATGCCTTCCTTGGATACAAAAGAACTCATAAAATTGTCTCAAATTTTCCATTCTTGAATAAAGAGATAAGAGAAAATAATGACCTTGTAACTCCAGATAGAGAATAACAGAGTTGGAAGGGACCTTGAAAGTCCCCTTGCTCAAGCAGGAGACCTCATACCGTTCTGGACAAATGGTTGTCCAATCTCTTTTTTAAAACCTCCAGTGATGGAGCACCCACAACTTCTGCTGGCAAGCTGTTCCACTTTCAGGAATTGTCTCTTTAGTTCTCCTTGCTAAGTTTCCATCCATTAGTTCTAGTCCTGCCCTTGTGCTTTGGAGAATAGGTTGACCCCCTCTTCTCTGTGCTAGCCATTCAAATATTGGAAGACTGCTATTGTGTCACCCCTAGTCCTTCTCTTCGTTAGGCTAGACATACTCAGTTCCTGCAATCCTTCATATGTCTTAGCCTCCAGCCCCCTAAGCATCTTTATTGCCCTTCTCTGCACTCTTTCTACAGTTTTGACATATTTTTTGTATACAGGTAGTTCTCGACTTATGACCATAATTAAGCCCAAAATTTATGTTGCTAAGTAAGACATTTGTTAAGTGAGCTTTGGCCCATTTGATGACCTTTCTTGACATAATTGCTAAGTGAATCACTGTAATGGTTAAGATAGTAACAGAGTTGTTAAGTGAATCTGGCTTCCCCATTGGCTTTACTTGTCAGAAGGTTACACAAAGTAATCAAGTGACCCTGGGACCATCATGAGTCAGTTGCCAAGTGTCTGAATTTTGATCACATGACCATGAGGATGTTGCAACAGTTGTAAATGTGAAAAACGGTAATAAATCACTTTTCAGTGCCATTGTAACTTCGAACTGTCACTAAACGAACTGTTAAGTCGAGGACTATCTGTACATCTGGATGAAACTGAACATATGGATCAGTTTCAATTAGGGTTTTGCCCAGGATATAATGCTGAATTCACTTTGATTACCTTGATGAATGACCTATGCAAAAATTAGAGGTAAGAAATGTGGCCTTCCTAATTCTCAGTGACTTAATACCCTCGATAATGGTGTGCTTTGAGACCATCTGATGTGGATATGCAAACAGTACTTTGCACTGTCTCTCTTTCTTGTTGCTGGGTGTGTCCAAAAGATGGTGTATGGATTACTATTTGACATCCAGGTCATTTACCAGTAATGTCACATGGGTTTTTTTCTTTTCCCTTTTGCTAAGTGAAACTATTAGGTGAAATCATTTGGAGCACTGGAATGGATTGCCATCAGTGTGTTGGAGAGACATCTTCTCCACTTTGTAAGTCTAAGGAGGTTGGTGTTTTGGAAGATAAGGTTATTCATGGGCTATATCAAGAGTTCTCCAACCTTTTTGGCTTTGCAGACCGGGGGAGGGGACGGTTCTGCGCATGCAGTGCACAAGCGTGCAGCTCCATTTGCGTGAGTGGGGATGCACCCATGCACTTGCCCACCATTTCCATGGCCTGATTCCAAATGGTTCAAGGCCTAGTAGTGTGCTGTGGTCTGGGGGTTGGGAACCCTTGGGCTAAATAGCATACTCAGACTAAATCAAGCTAAGTTTAACTTGCTGCTGGTAAAGAAGAAGCTTAGGTAAAGCCATTCTGAATGGGACTAACCTAGAAGAAGCCAGGTCCGCAGTTTGAGAATGTTCCTTAACCTCCAGGTATTGCTAAACTGTTAAATATAGCACCCAGCAACCCTTCCTGAGCTGATTGGCCTTAATGACAATTATCTGTGCACCTTGGTTATATTGTAACTTCACTAGTATAACCCACTTTATATGGGATTGCCATTAAAAAGGGACCAGAAATTGCAATCTTAAAAAATGTGGCTACCCTTTTAACCAATGCAAGATAGAGGGATCACCAAGGGCCTGTAATAAAAAGTTTGTACTGGCTTCCAGTTGGTTGCTGAGTGTCCTTTAACAGGCTGTTGACCTTGAAAGTAATAAACATCTTAAGAGTCTGCAGGATTTTCATTTCTTGCCTGGATACTTAGATTAGCATTTTGAGGACATACATTCTGGCATCCTTGAAAAACTTTTCTCCCGCCTGGCTTCCAGGATATAGAAGGCCCTTCCTAAAGAAGTATGTTTGGGGGGCCCGTCCACGTATTGTTTAGGAAATGATAAAAATCTATCTCACCCATCTTTTAATTGGCCACAAAATTGACTTTAAGGATATTTATTTTAATTTCACCTCTGATTTTAACAGCATTGTTTTAAAAGAGTATTTTGAAGTATAAGCTGCCTTGAATGTGCATGGACATAAAGGAGGAATAATTGGCAAATAATAATGGATTTAATTTATTTTCTGGTTTTACTAGGGATGGTCACAACTTTAATATAGATGAGAGTATTGAAACTATCTATGCAGAATCCAATCTGCTTGGAAGAATAAATCTCTGGTACTGGTGACCAACTAAGATTGGATCCTGCAACATATTCTGGGACATATATATTTGCCTTCATTCATAAACTACCCGTGATTCAGTATTTTCCATGTATATTTTGCTACATTGTTGGCAAGTACTATATTGAAATGGATCTCCAAACGAATAATGATCAATATGTGTTAAGTTTTCATGGAGTTATTCAGTTTCAAACTCTGCCCAAAGGAAACTGAATTCTGAAATTCTGCGCTCTCATGTGGAATAGGAGCTTCGCGATACTCTATTTTATGGCCCTCTAATGAAGAATTTCAGAAGGCCCTTGGATTCTGATACTCTGAAATTGGGAGTTGCATATTCATAAGGGCAAAAAAATAATACATTTTTCTATTTATCACTGCTCTTGCAGTGAGAATGGGTGTGAGAATGAACATGATTGTTGGAAATTATTTCCTGCATGCCATTGGCTCTTAAAGAGAAGGGCCACTGCACAAGATGAGAAAAATATCTCTGTCCCTTTGGTCTGGCTCAAGATGAGAAGGATTTTGATAGACTTGAATACTGGGCACTATCTAACAAAATGAAATTCATTGTGAGAAAAGTAAGGTTTTACATTTAGGCAAGAAAACCCAAATGCATAGGTATAGAATAGGTGGCACTTGGTTCAATAGTAGTAAATGCGAGAATGATCTTGGAGTGGACAATCACTTAAATATGAGTCAGCAGTATGCTTCAGCTGCTAAAAAAGTCAACACAGTCCTAGGCTGTATTAACCGGTAAAATCAAGCTCACACAAAGTGTTGTTAATACCACTTTATAATGCCCTGGTAAGATTACACTGGGTATATTGCATCCAGTTTTGATCACGATATAAAAAAGATGTTGAGACTCTAGAAAGAGTGCAGAGAAGGGCAGCAAAGATGATTATGGGCTTGGAAGAATGATACACGAAGAATGATTGCAGGAATTTGGTATGTCTAGTAATAAAAAGAAGAACTAGGGGTGACATGATAGCAGTGTTCCAATATCTCAGGGGCTGCAACAAAGAAGAGAGAGTCAACCTATTCTCCAAAGCACCTGAGGGCAGGACAAGAAGTAGTGGATGGAAACTAATCAAGGAGAAAAGCAACCTACAACTAAGGAAAAATTTCCTGACAGAACAATTAATCAGTGGAACAACTTGCCTCCAAAAGTTGTGGGTGCTCCAACATTGGAGGTTTTTAATAAGAGATTGGGCAACCATTTGTCTGAAACGGTATAAGTTTCCTGCTTGAGCTGGGGGGTTGGACTAGAAGACCTCCAACTTCTAACTATGTTATTCTGAGTCGTGAATTACTTTCCACGGAGCCATCTGTACTATTTTTTCACTTTCTGAGGAGTTTGCTAATATTCTCCTGATTCTGGCCCAATTTGGAATAATTTTGGGAAAGATTAGAAAAATCAGAAGAATTCACACGTTACACAGACCACGAGCTTGTGGAGAGGAAGAACCGAGATCTTCCCGTAGAAACGGCGGATTTTCAAGCATTTCGATACGGATGAAACTACCATCGGCAGGTGAGCTACAGAAAGAGAGGGCCTTTTCTTCCACTCGGAAAGTAACTGGAATAGAAAATGCAATTTATTTGACTGGTGCAAACTTTTAAAAAAGTCCTGCCATTTCTAGTACTGATGCAGAAGAAAGACGGGAAATAAAAGAAACTGATTTTTATTGCTAGGTGTTTAGCTTCGTGGAAAACGGGCGCGCTTAAACATCGCGGATTTCCATCGCAACTATCACCGGTATTTAACCTTGGCAGATTCCCAAATCCTATGCAAGGTTGAATCGGAAAAAGTTATATGGAAAAAAGACCGCCGGGTGAGGAATACATTACGAAGTCGAAAAGGCACCTCGGCCTACAGCATTTCTTTTTGGCTGCCGGGAAACATTACTTTTTACGAGAAGCTTTAATTAGAATCAGAGGATATTGTAGGGGACGCGTTAAGTTTTCAGGGAACTCAGAATCGCGGGATAAACCCACGTCTAAAAATTATATATTTATAGCTCAGTGTGGGAAGGAAGCAGTGTTGCTTTGCTTCCGGTCTAGGACGGAAGTTGTGCTCGGCCGCTCCGGATTCCTCTGAGCCCGGCGTGATGAAGGCTATCATCCAACGTGTCACTCGAGCCAGTGTGTCAGGTGCGCGGGTGCCGTTTATGTTCCGATTCCGTTTTTTGTGAGCTGCCCAGCGCCAGCGTGCTCGCGTTTGCCCCTCGACGCGGTGGTTTAGAGTCTGTGTCTTCAGCCCCGGCATGCCGGCGGGGCTTCTCGTGGCCGAGCTCAGCCCCGCCATCTTCACCGCCTTCCTCCGCGGGCTCCTTCAAAACCCACCGCCTGGTTGCTCAGTTATTAAAGGGTCTTATGTTTCGTTAAGCCCCGATTTGGCATGAAATGTATCCTCACGTTGGACATTGCAGCGAATCCCAGTTGTTTGCAGCATGTCCATGTGGTTCATGTATTTGTCCACATCCATCCTTTATCTTTGAAGCAACTTTTAAGTGTGAAACAAAAAAAAGGAAGTGTGAATAAGAAGTCCTAAATCAGTGGTGGCAAATCTATGGCACGGGTGCCAGAGGCGGCACTCAGAGCCCTCTCTGTGGGCACGCGTGCCGTTGCACCAGTCCTAGGCCTTCAGCTGGGTTTTATAAAACCTTTTCGCTTTAGGCCTTCACCGCCATGTATATAAAAAAAAGGTTCAGTCAATCAGTCAATTTCAACTTCTTGCGGAAAAAAAAAAAGATCTTGCAAAGTTGGAATTGATTGATTGAACTTTTTAGTCCCATCCGGTCTGCTGTTATCACCGCAGCCACGCCCACCCAATGGGCCACACCCACCCGGCGCTCGATGATGCATAAGTGGGTTTTGGGTTGCAGTTTGGGCACTCAGTCTCTAAAAGGTTCCCCATCACTGTCTTAAATTGTTGATTTGTTATCCTATTACACATATGCAAGGTGCTCTATAGAGAATGGTAATTTGTGACGATCAGCAGTCTCTCTTGTTTTATACAGCATGTGCAAAATTTATACACTGATGTGGCTGACATCTTTAACATGTTTAGATACATGGCTTTACTTTGCAAATATTTAGCGTTTTGTATGTTTTCCCACTGTAAACTATCAGCACTGAAAAGAATTTAAAGAACTAAGCCCATAGTGCTGCAGGTAAAAAATTAGGAGGACATAGGAATTCCTGTAAAAAATAATTAAAGGAAGCGATGCTGACCGTGGCATCTGAGGGGGATGAGCCTAGTGACTGATTGATTATGTATTTATATTTCCTATTTCTTAATTTGTCCATTGTGTGTGGAAGAGTGTATGAGAGTGTGCCATGAGATAACTTGCCTCAATTTTCAACTCTTGCATTTGTATTTACTTTAGAAATAGGAGACTTGCCATGAAGAGGTTTGCTTAGTTTATTTAATTTTCTTTCTTTCCTTACTCCCTTTGAATAAAATGTCTTCAGAACAACATATTTGATAACATGCACGTCTTTATTTAAGCAGAAGTAATGTCCTAACGTGATTGTGTAGAATGTTCAAAAGATTTTACATTACAGTATTTAATCATTTTATTGTATCATGAGGGTTTTTAAAGCATAATGTCTGTACCTTGTATGTTTATTATTTATAATGTTTTTATCATTGTAGAGTAAATCTTCACAAATTACCATAAGATAAAAATATATAAATCAAAATATATAGGGGGACATAATAGAAACAGAAAATACACTCTGGACTCTAGCAATGAAAAACAGTGAAATGTTTGGTAGAATAAAGACAGAAATAAGAACTGTTTATATGCCATAAGGATTATTATTAGATTTAATATGAGTACAGATATGAAAAACATTTGAACTAGTTTAGAATTCACCTATCCCCTTTAATGTGTGGACATTATTGAAATATCCTATTGATTAAACTAGGAAGTTAACCATATATTTTAATTTTCTTTGTTGTAATTGGTTGGAACTTGATGCAGTGACAGCAAAATTTCAGAAAAATGTTTATTCTAGGGTAGACTGTTAAAGGCTCCTTTTGATTTTTATTTTAAAAATATTAGTTGCCAGTGAATATGCAGAATTGAAATGAAGAAGTGACATTTGCAAGCATAAGTGAAACTTTATGGAGAATAATGTTGTTAACTTTCAAATGAATAGGTTCAGGCTTTTTCTGTTTACTGTACCTTAAGAGCTATGTCTACATTGTTAGTTGCCTCTCCAGAATACACATTTCTCACCATTATTTTCAAGATAATTTTTATAAACGTATCATTTCCACAAATGTTGCAAGACATTTCCATTGTGGTACTTTTCTGTAGCATTCTTAGAGAAAAACTTTGGCAGGTCAGAACAGCATAGCACTTTGTTAGGAAGTCTGTCTAACTGTCCAGAGAAAAGTAGTAGCAGCATTAAATGTCCTACTACAGACTGCAGAGTGACTTAGAATATACAGTAGTGGCCAAAATTGTGGAAACCTTTCGGGAAAAGTGTACAGTAGAAATGCCACCTTTGGTTAAGTTTCCACCAATTTTTCTTCTAATTTCTTTCTAACTGTAGCCTTGTTCACTTAATAATACTATTTTACATCGCTTTCTGGGCAACCAATGAACTCTGCACCATTACTTTAATTTTATTACATTTTACAAGCTCACTAAATGAAAGAACACAAAAAAGCCCAACCAACTTGATAGCGATCACATAACACACTGACAAATGTCCTCCTCTCAGCTTCAATACATGACATCAATAACTGAATCCTACTGTGATCTGATTGGCTCATTGCCAAAACAAGATGACACCTGATTGGCTCTTTAAACACTCATGCTCATTGGCTACAATCAGATGAAGGAAAGCTACCTGATTATCAACCTAAGCAAGATGTGCTTCCTTTTTCTGGTTATTTGGCTATAACTTTTCATAGAATACAGTACAGATAATTGAACAAACTTTGTTGTATTACACTCTTGATTAAATTATCTTTCCATTGATATACTACTCCAAAAAAAGTGGTGTTATTAGCCATCAAACCTCAAAAATACACTTTCCCCAAAAGGTTTCCACAGTTTTGGCCACTACTGTATTTGCCAGTGTAATTTTACTAGATCCTTATTTTTATGATTGGCTACGGTAAATTTTCATGAGTGGGCACCCTGCTATGACAGTGATTTTGTTACAGTATCCACAATATTATCTCAAAATTCTGTGTGTACCCATCAATCCAAAAGGTTTGGGAAGGTCTGTAAGTAAGTCCCTGACTTACAATTGTTTAATGATGGTCCAAAATTAACAATTGCCTGAAAATAGTGTAAAATTAATTACAAATACAAGGCTTGTAAAACACTTCACAAAATGTTGCATCACCATGCCCACAATCCACAGATCGCGATTTGGGTGCTTGGCAGCCTGTCTGCACTTATAACTGGTTTTCAAGTGCCCCGCAATCCTGTGACCAGCTTCTGTAATCTTCTCTGTCAGCTTCCCCAAAAAATCAATGGGGAAGCCAGAGGGAAGGTTGCAAGCTGCTGCTACCTGCTGAGAGGACTCCCTCTCATCTTTGGGAATTGGCTAAAATAGCTAGTTGCCTAGGGAAGCTCTAGTTCCTTCAGTGGGGTGCAGAAAAGGAGCTCAAATCCTGAAGATTTGAGCTTCTTTTCTGCAGTACACTAGAGAGTGTCCTTCCTGCACATGGAGAGGAGCTGAAGTCCTTCAGTAGGTTGAAGAAACAGAACTCAGATCTCAGGATTTGAGCTCCATTCCTGCACCTTGCCAGAGGAGTTCCTTCCCATGCAGAGAGGGGAGCTGAATTACTTCGGCAGGTAACTCTTGTCAGCCTCTGTACTCTAGAGACAAAAGAGAGCTGAAATCCAAGCAGAGAGCAGAAAAGCAGTGTGGTAAGATGATGAGCATAAGGTTCTTTGGACAGATGGTGGAGGCTCTGGGAAGCCTGGAATGGGCTGTGCGCAAGCATCTCTGCTCAGGGACTGAAAATCCTGCTTGGATTTCAGCAGGGAGAATTTCAGCTCCAGAGCGGAACCTCCCCCCTCTCCCTGCCCCCCCCCGCCGCATCCCATGCTCTTTACCTGAGACTATCTGCTTAATCACCTGGGATTAAGTGCTCAAGTGCCCTCCATTTGCACAAGTGGAGCTTCACGTGCAAGCGCCCTCTGCTTACACACAAACCACATTCTTGTGAGTGGAGGGCACGCACGCCACTCACACCAATGGAGCTGTGTGCGCACATGTGCGCCTGCCACTCACACGCCTCCCCCCCTCGTGCTGTCTTGCTTAACTGGTTTGCTCAGCATTCAATATTTCCGTCTCAGTTGTGGTCGTAAGTCAAGAACTACCTGTAAAGTCTCCTTTGAGTGGATTGGTTATATCAGCAAAGTTTTAAAGAAGTGTTTTTTTAAAATATTTTTTAAAATTTATATTTAATAAATATAAATAGCCTTATCGGTGAGAGTGGCAGCATATAAGTTTAATAACAAGTTAAATAAATAGAATTATATGCTGCCCTGTCCACCTATAAGGCGACTCTGGGCAGCTTACAAACAGTGAAAAGATAAAAAAGATAAATATACAAACAATTAAAATTTAAAATGCTATATTTAAAGCTAGAAGCAAGGAGACTGACGTCACAGGGATAAGACCTTTTTACTCTGTCAGCCCACTTCACTGGTGAGTGCCCCCTCCTCGGAACCCCAAGCCAACTGGCAAAACTAGATTTTGATACCTTTCTGGAAGGCCAAAAGGGTAGAAGCAATTCTCGCTTCTGGTGGTAGAATGTTTCACAGGGTGGGGCCACAGCGGAAAAGCCTCTTCTTGATCCCACCAGTCAGAATTCCTTAGCAGGGAAGGGGTCTGCAGCAGGCCCCTTCCACAAGGATTAGTGAGGTGAGCTAGCCCCTTTTGATACCCTAGACTCACCCCATAAAAGGTTTTGAAGGTAATAGCCAACACTTGAATTGGACTTATGAATTTCCTAAAGCATTATCCATTAACTACTTGTTACAGATTCACTCTCGTTGTTGTTTTCACCATTAACATGGGTATGGGAGCACAGATTCACAAGGTGTCCTTGCTGTGTCTGGCACAACAAATGTGAGAGGTAGCCCTACCTCTGTAGATAGATACTTATTTCTTATATGGGGATTGCATGACAATCTACAATGAAGGATTAGATCAGTGGTGGCGAACCTATGGCAAACGTGCCAGAGGCAGCACTTGGAGCCCTCTCTGTGGCACGCATGCCGTCGCCCCAGCCCTGCCCCAGCCCCGCCTCCCCCCGCAGCTCCCTCCTCACCAGCAGCCCCTCTGGAGGAAAGTCGCCCCCGGCGTGGCCCACACGGAGCAGCGCAGCCAAGGACATAGCCGGGCAGCAGGGACAAGACTCCGCCCTCGCGCCCCATAGCATGCAGATGATGCTGTGGGGTGTGGGTGGAAGGCGTGGCTGCCATGGCGCTCCAAGGCTGCCTGGGTGATATGCTGCGGTGGGCCATGGAGACGGTGCGTGGCCCTGCGGGCAGGTGGGCAGGGGGCGGGTGGGGGCGGAGCAGGCAGGGCAGGAGACCGAGCGGGGGCGGGGGGTGGTTTTTGGGCACTCGGTCTCTAAAAGGTTCGCCATCACTGGATTAGATCCTTTCAGCAAGAGCATCTTACAGAATTTATTTTCACAGACATGAATTATATTGTGATGTTTTTACTGTTATAAATTCTCTTGTTGACACTGTTACACATCTGTCATTTCTCCCTGTTATCTTAGCTGTTCTATATGTGGGTGGTTTATCAATCCTATCTCTAGTTCCTCTCTGAATATGAAGTGCCTTACTTCCATTGGGTACCCCAATAAAAAAAATCTGTTAGATAAAAGTCTTGGGGAAGATTAGATAATGATTGAAGATGGAGGACACTAAATTATTCAGCTGAACAATTTATATACTGTATAGCTAGAGAATTCCTGGAAGCCTGGTACTCAGATAAATCAGCCATCGATAAACACATAGACATAAACAACATTCAAAAGAGAAAATCAACAAGCCAAAAAGAACCTTTTCCAGCTTAGCCCCTATTAATTTTGGCTCATAATTTCAGATCCAGATGAGTGAAACTTTCCTAAATAACTTAAATTTTGAGATTTACTTTGGAATTTGTTGACCTCTTTTGATTCAAAGGGAGCAAATAAAGTAACTGAAAAAAAAGTTATTAAATAGCAAATGTAAGATTCCAGTTTGCAGAACTTTCCCCCTCCCCCTCCAATATTCCCTACTAATGGAGGGGAAGATTGGTTACAATCTGGCTATCTTGAATGTTATCAAGACAGTGTGGGTTCCTCATACATCCTAGGCTCGATGCTGTAGTCTTAAAGGATGGATATTTGAAAATGTCTTTCAGCAACAACTCTGCCATTGCAGCAGTGATACAGCTAAGACTGTCGAACACTTTTTCTGTATGAACTGTATAAATTGTGTAAACAATTATATCCTGCTTCCATTATGGCTAACAAAAGACGGGGCCGGAGATTAAAACTCCTTTTTAAAAATCTTCTAATATACTAGCTTCTATCCTCACATCAAGACTGTGGTTACATTTTGCACGGTTTATAATTCTGTAACAAAACATCTGGATTTATTTAAATTGACTGTAAATATCTTAGTTTGTGTGGTCAGGTTTAGAAGTGCATATGTGTGAAATTCCTATTAAAGAGGTTTCCCGATAAGATAGAATTTTGTTTCAAAAAAGATTCCTTTTAGGTATTAAAATATTTATATCATCCTATGATACGTAAATTGGTTGTATGAGCATTTGTTAAATATTTTGTATTCAGAGATGTATTCTGTTTTTGCCTTCTATTTCCAATTGTGTTACTATGTTATAATTACTGATTGAAGGACTATAAAAGCAGCAAACCCACTACATACTGGTACTAACCTTGGGCTAAGGAGATCATATATTTTACATTCCAAAGGCATGCATATGTTTCTTGTTTTTGTTTGAAAGGGGACCTATGCATATTATGCTTTGCAACAAATTGTTAAAAAAAACCTATCTCCACTGGGAATAGAATCGTGACACTTACAACTCTATAGAGTAAGTTGCTTTCCGAGTTTAGGAATAAGAAACTTTTACATGTGTGTGTTTATTTATAGGGATATGACACAAAATGAATTCTATACATTTAACTTCTTAAAAATATCCCTTACAGTTGGTGAGGAACAAATAAATTCCATTGGACGTGGTATTTGTGTGCTGCTGGGTATCTCTGTGGAAGACACGCAGAAAGAGCTGGAGCACATGTAAGTAATAATAAGTATTTAACTTTTCTTCCACTTTGTAATTTACATATGTTTTACTTAAACAAATGATATTTTCTAAATGTCTGGATCAGTTGTTATGCATAGAATCTACATCTACTGTAAATCTCTTTATATTATCTTTGCTCCCCGTTTTCTGGTCTTTATATTTATAGAATATAATGTAGAATATACAGTATATGTAGAATATTGAACAGCTTAACTTCAGAAAAGTTCCATAAAGCCCTCTGACTTTTCATACAGGGTTCGAAAGATATTAAATCTTCGTGTGTTTGAAGATGAAAGTGGGAAACACTGGTCTAAAAGTGTGATGGATAAGCAGTACGAAGTGCTGTGTGTTAGTCAGTTTACTCTTCAATGTATCCTGAAAGGAAATAAGCCAGATTATCATATGGCAATGCCTTCTGACCAAGCAGAATCTTTCTACAACAGTTTTTTAGAGCACCTTCGCAAAGCATACAAGCCAGAATTAATTAAAGGTAAGGCAAAATTAACTGAGGAATTGAAATATTTCTCAGGCAATAAGCTAGATTCCTATAGAAATTGCTATACTTACTTTGTAATTTATTACATTTAAATTATAATTCTTTTTTAATAAAGAAAAGTATTTTAAAAGTCAAGATTTAATGCTGCTCATTATGTTTTTGGTTTGAATTAATGATAGAGATATTATGACTTTAACAAAAGAATTAAATATTGTTTATGGATAAGTACCCTTTCTCTTTTTGCCATCCAACTCTATTTTTTCAGATGGCAAATTTGGCGAATACATGCAGGTACATATTCAGAATGATGGACCTGTGACCATTGAACTGGAGTCTCCTGCAGCCCCTGTTGACTCTAAACAAGTATGTTATAGTAGTGCTTTTCTTTACCTACCGATTTTGAGATAGTACGTAAGTTGATTTGAAAAGCTTTACTATGTTCTGCGGGCCTCATCTTTATATTCTGACCCGAGAATAGCTAATCCTCTTCTGGACAATAATTATTTTAAAAAGAAGTGAGGTTTCTCTTGGAGAGTATTACAAATTTGTTATGAAAATATCACTGCAACAACATCCATGGAAGAATGATAACTTAGGGCTGTGATACTTTTGGATCTTTATTGCTGTTGCTTCTTTTCAGCTGAAGTTTTATATGTTGCCATAGCACTGTTACAAAATCAAAATTTATTTTATTTTTATGTTTATGAGTTAAGATACTTAGACTGTTTAATAGTTTTATATATCTGTCAATAATCTCAATGCACTTTACGAACACTGTATTATAAGAGAGGATAACTAGAAAAATGAATGCTGACAGAAGTCTGTTTGAATGAAAAAGAGGAAGTCATTCCTATTTAATTTAAGCTAATGGGAAATGCTAGATCTGATTTGTAATGGATCCAGTAGATTTGTGGTATGCGTGCCTTATTACATTGTATTATAGAATATATCATATTCTATGTTCTGTGAACAGTTACTTCCATCAGGGATTTACTGTTTGCTTCTGTGCTTTCTTTCAAGTCTTTCACTGATCTGGCCCTTATTTGTCTTATGAGTGGCTCTTTCTGCTCAAATAGTTAACAGAGCAACATTTTCAGTGAATTGCACTGCTATTGCATGTATTAATTTTAGATACCACAGAGTCATGTAATAATATAGTATTAACTGAGACATATCATTTCTAAGAGTAGGTGATTAGTAGTGGTTTACTGATATCTGCTTGTGCTAAATTAGGCTTGTACTAGAGTTTTTAAGTTTCAGCTGTGTGCATATTAATACATAACAAATATTGACAAAAATCTGATCAAAGTATTAAAAATAGATAATCAAAAATTACCACTTTAAATATACTATAACTGCATTGGTTATTCTGCATGAATTAGCTGCTACAAAAATACCTTTAATTAGATGTGATTCTTACATTCTGGTTTGTTGTGTTTTGAAAGAAAATGTGATCTCACAACCCAAATACATTGTCCCTGATTGCTGTTCTTTTCCCTAATATGAAATGGTGTCAGCACGTTCCTATACATCTGAAGTCCTAACCATAAAATCTGTACAAGATTTTCAGCTTGGGTTGCATTTCAGACTGTTCTGGTCTATTGAATCCATTGAAACCCATATTTGATATGGTTGAATTATAAATAAGCAAATACTGAAATTTTGTATTTACCCTGTCTACACTTTCTAGGAGCAGTTTATTCCCATAAAGAAACCTTCCAACATGCTTGCTATTGTTACTTAATCAATTTCTTTCTAAATAAAAACATTGAAAGAAAATAATAGCCTCAAGTTGTTTGCTTCTTCTCAAGCTTTCTAAATAAGAGCTTTGAAAGAAAATAATAATAAATCCTCTAGTCTTTTGGCTAGGGCTTGATATCTAGGAACTGTAAAGAGTTGGAGAAATAACATCAGTGATATTTGAGGAGCTGTAACACTTCAAGAAAATTACTACACTTACTAGAAAGATACTCTTTTAATATACTATTACTAGAAAAAAATATTTTAATATTCAATGCCTATTCTGCAGTATAACTATTGTACAAATCTCATATATCTGTATTGCCTGTTGGAAACCAGGCTGTGCTATTACAGACTGACATTTCGAGATATGTTGTGACAAAGTAGAATTGCCAAGGAGTCTGTTCTGGAAATGTTGTTGTAATGATGAGTATACATTGCCAGCATTCTATTTAAAGATTTTCATTACAGGATGATCTTAATTATAGGAAATCATTAAGTGAAGATCTGTCACTTGCATATTTTTTTGACAGGGCAGGAGTTCTGAGTAATATTAGCTTCCTGTCAGTTTATTTGAATTTTTTACTGGAGTGTTTTAAATAATGTGGAACTTAAATTGGTTCAGTTTAAAGTTTAGCTAGTCTGGTCATTATTCTGGTTTCTTTTTTCCATATTATTACTATTACTGTTATAGCTAATGTAGCAGGCAATCTTTATTATTATTAGAATTGATTTGATTTTTATATTTTAGCAGAATCCCAGAAGTATGTGGTTGCTTGTGTTTCCTAACAAAAAAATTAGAGTGCATATTTCTGAGAAATATGGAAATGATCAATTTACAATGTTTTATGCAGTGCTGTCAAACATATCTTTGGTGATTTACAGATCATCTTGGCCAATCCTTTTAAAAAGATTTTGGTGGCAAATCTTTACTTATTTTCACCATATATTTTGTCTGCCCACACCATTTCAAGGTCTAATAAACATCACCCACCAAATCAAGGTACATATATTTGCTCACTATCAACGACAAATGAGATCTGTTAACAATTTCCCATAATGTTCTATGCCAGTGGTGGCGAACCTATGGCACGGGTGCCAAAGGCGGCACTCAGAGCCCTCTCTGTGGGCACACACACCGTCGCCCCAGTCCTAAGCCTTCAGCTGGGTTTTATAAAACCTTTTCGCTTTAGGCCTCCACTGCCATGTGCAAAAAAAAAAAAAAAGGTTCAATTTCAACTTCTCCCGGAAAAAAAAAGATCTTACAAAGTTATAATTGATTGATTGAACTTTTTAGTCCCATCCAGTCTGCCTTACCACTGTGGCCACGCCCACCCAATGGGCCAGACCCAGCCAATGGGCCAGACCCACCCAGCACTCTACTATGCATAAGTGGATTTGGGGTTGCAGTTTGGGCACTCAGTCTCTAAAAGGTTTGCCATCACTGTTCTATGCTGAACAAAATAGCCAATCATTGTGCAACAGGATCAATGGACTCAATTGACATAAAATGGCAATTCCTAAACATTCTTGGAAAGCATACTAATTTCATGGGACATTCTTTCTCTGACCACAAAGTGGCAAGATATGTGAGAAAAGTCCCTGAGACAACAGAGGTGAAATTTGTTAGAAGAATTTCAATAGCCTTTCTGATGGAATTTATCAAACAAGATATGTTAACTATTCACTGCAAGAATGTCTGCATCGTGTCTAACTGCTGTTTTATGCAGTTCTGCCCTGCGCTTTCTCTTTATGATTTCCTTCTCCCTCACTTTCTCCTGTCAAATTGCATTTTTTCAGGACAATAAGCTCATTGATTTATTGGCGTTTTTATTGCAATAAAATAGGTTGCAGTAGACACAGGTACTTCTCTTAGAAGTAGGAATGGTTACTATCTCCAGCCTCCAAAATATTTATAGCTCTCTGCCTTCAGCCTTTTTCATAAACATTCTGCCATATTTGCCCAGTCCCACAAGTTTTTCCAAAGCGCCTGGAGGCAGGACAAGAAGCAATGGGTGGAAACTAATCAAGGAGAGAAGCAATCTAGAACTAAGGAGAAACTTCCTGACAGTTAGAGCAATTAACCAGTGGAACAACCTGCCTCCAGAAGCGGTGAATGCTCCAACACTGGAGGTTTTTAAGAAGAGACTGGACAGCCATTTGTCCGAAATGGTATAGGGTTTCCTGCCTGAGCAGGGGGTTGGACTAGATGACCTTCAAGGTCCCTTCCAACTTTACTACTACTACTACTACTACTACTACTACTANTATTATTATTATTATTATTATTATTATTATTATTATTATTATTATTATTATTATTATATAAAATGTTCCTCTCTGAGATCTATATCCCCATACATCTGATGAAGAGTGTTGGTGTAATCTACAAAAACTTCCTGTTCTTTACTTTTTATCTTGTTTTGCTGCAAAAGGCTAACATAGTGTTTTGAAAACTAAGATATTGTCTGTGCTATTGCACTGCTTCCGTTTATATTCATTCACAAATGTGCTTTTCCATCTTTCCTTTGCAACAGTTAACAAAACTTGAGAAACAACAACAGAGGAAAGAGAAAACCAGAATGAAGGTCCCTTCTGAATCAAGCAGAGAACGAAATCTTCCTAGAAGTAAAAATGATCCAAGTGCAAGCAGTGGGGCTGAAGGGGATGTTTCTTCTGAAAGGGAACCGTAACTTCTCAAAGCACCTTCAGGTATGGAGTTTCTGCCTCTGCTCTTCTCGAAAAGATCCATTTCCTGCCATTTTAAGTCTTGTGTAAATTATTTATTATTTTCTTTTCAATCCTATAAATATGTACTTTTTCAATATTTAAAGCTGCTTCCACTTCATTTCATATAGCCCAGTTTTATTTCCTTTGTATAGTTTCATCTCTCCCTTTCCACTTTTAGTGCTTTTTTCACTCCCCCCCCCCCCAGTGCCTGGGGCAGTTATATCTTCTCTGATAAATAATTGGAAATTTCCTTTATTCCTAAAACAAATGGCCATAGCTATCTATGTATTCCAGCTTCTTAATCACTGAGAGACATTTAAGCAACATTTTTTAAAAAAATACCTTATATATTCAGGCTGTGTTTCTCCACTTGGTTGTAAACTTTTAGTGACATTTTGTGTGATTTGGCATATGCCAATTTTTCGTACAATATATAAATTAAAATCTACCAAATAGGGCCTAGATCCAGATCTAAATCTGTTAAAGGAGCTTTATTTCTTAGGGAAAAATCATAATGGAAAGCATAATGGAATGTAATTTACCTGGAAGCTAGGGGAGGGAGGGAGGGAGGAAGAAAGGAAAAATATGTTACTTTTAATTGAAACTATGCATAATTAGTGAAGCCATGTATCTTGAAAATTTTATTATAATCTGAAAAGCAACTGCATTTTCTAGTATGGGATCGAATATAGCATATAAAAAATGAGGAAGGAAGCAGGACTAATCAAAGGATGATAGTAGTTTAGGAAGAATCTTACAAAATGAGATTACACTTAACACTGGAAAAAATGGTCATTTGCTTCTCTTTTTCTCCCTTTCTCTCTTGAAGTTGTACATGGCCCAGCCTGAGGGGAAAAAAATCACTAATATGAAGTAGAATTTTTTCTACCTTGAAATATTATTCCTTCTTTAATTGCTATGTACTGTTTAGTTAATTACAGCATCTTATAAGTACTGTAAACAAACAAATAAAATCTGCTATAATTAAAACTTTATTTTTGATCCTTTGTGGAATATTTATTTATAGTCAACTTAGCATACTGCAGATATTAAGGTCCAGGCAGCTTTGAATAAAAAAACATCAAAACAGTTTAAAAGGATTAAAAGCAATAAAAGCAAGTAAAATAATTAAAATAAATAGCTAGAAGCCTATATATGCATTTAAAGTTTTTTTTAAGGTGATAAAAATGTTAACTTCTGCCAGGAACTCCTTTCAGAGTTTCGGCACCAGTACAGAAGACTTGATCCTGGGTTGCCCTTAGATGAGCTCATTGTAACTGTAGGAGAACCTCCTTAGATGATATCAACAAGCAGAGGATGCTTAGTGATTTGTATTTTGCCCAGAAGTGAAGTAGCAACCAATGCAGTGGTTTAAGTACAGGTGTGGAATTTTCTCTGCTTTCTTCTTGAGCCCAATCTTTTGCCAAATTTTGTATCAGCTGAAATGCTACAGTTAGGGTTCAAAAACTCTTAAAACATAAAATACTCTTAAGACATTATAGCTTGGAGTTTAGCGATAGATGAAATAATAGTTTAAAGTTACTTTATTTTCAGAAATCAACAATAGGTATCAGCCGAAGCTGATAAAAAGAAGTTATTTACTGCTCCTTCTGGAGAATAACTTCTTTCAGAATGGACTTGTTTCACAAGAAGGTCAAAATATATTTTGCAGTTTGAGCAGTTGCTTTTTTGTTCATAAAACTAAAAGATCCGGAGAAGTAGAAATTAAGAGGGAGGGAGGGAGGGAGGGAGGGAGGGGGAGGGAGAGAGAGAGAGAGAGAGAGAGAGAACTCAAAACTGAGTGAAGTTCCTATTTGTTACCACAATTTGAACTTAATTCTGACTAATATCCATGTTATCCTATTGCAGCAAAAGTCCAGAAGTTGCATTTATCAGATTGCTTTTAAATCCTTATTCTTAAAAGGGTTGGATGATTGAAAGTGTGTTGGATCTTATAAAAGGGAAAAGAACAAATGTTTGTGAATGAAAATTGATAACATTATTGTAGGTGGTCACTTTTATTACTTTGTCATACTAAACAATTGTTTTGCTGTAGGTCAGACATGTCAAACTCGCAACGTCACGTGACGTCGCGCAATGTATCAGGACGGTTTTGCCATTGCCGGCAATGGGGTGGGCGCGGCTTCCGGATGATGCGTCCGGCCCGTGGGCCGGCAGTTTGACACCCCTGCTGTAGGTGCTTTACATTTCCTTGTGTGCTGAGACAAATTGCAACTTGATTTAAATGAATGCTGATGTTTGCATAAAACATGGCACTTAGCCCAAGGCAGCGATTAAAAGAGACAGGCTATAATTTGGAAAGACTGCTGGCTCAGCTCTTAGTTTGTGATGAAATCACTAGATTTCTCCACCTCTCTTTGCAGCATGTGGATAGCAATGGTACTGTTTTACTGTAGAGGAGTGAAAGAGTGACTAAGGATATATCATTCAGATAATAGTTTAAAATAGAACCTCAAGCAACTCTGGGCTCCCTTGTCTTGAGCATGGCTTCCCTTTTGGCTTTTAGTTAAACATGAACCATTGTTTGCCAAGATGTCCAACTTGATAAGTTCTGATTAGTACCTGCCCTCAAACCAGAATTAACTTTCTGATTCAAGGACAAGTGTTATTCACAATTTTCCTATTCAAACCTCACAGCACATTATGATATCACATTAAAGGAATTTGTGCCTATGGTGCCATGCTGCATAAAATTGCCATATCTATAACATATCTGAAATATTTCGAACACACAAAATATTGTACAACTGCTAATCTACTCTTTTTATTTCCCAAGAAGAGCAAGTCGGTGCTTTAAAGGCTGATTGATGTGATAAAAAAAATCCATCTAGCATCACCAGATCAACACAGGTGACACTGCTTGCCTGGCAAAGCTGTCATCTAATTGTGTCACTCTATTGCTGGAACAATTTATTTTAACCTTGAGAAGGAATTAATTAACAAATGTGTGGGCTGAGTAATATTTGTCCACATGATGGAGCAATTTGACAGCTACTTCATGGTGAATTTTTCTGTAAGTCCTGAGACTATTTTTGGTGTACCAGGGGTAAAGGGTCTGACTCACTGAACATTTTGTTCAATTTTCCTCACTGAGTTCAGTGACAGTTTCATAAAATTCTGAAAGAAAGTCATTCAATCAAACAACTTTCTATGTTTTCATTTTGAAAATTGCTTTTGTTCTCTCACTTCCCAACATGAAGATATTTAAAACAAGCATACTGGGCAACGGTAACATGATGTCTCTTCATTTTAAATCCTTCTGTAAGAGAGTAAGCTTGGAATAAATAAGGGGAAAGGGGAAAGAATGGTTCAAATTCAATGACATAGTAAAGAAAAAAGAATATGTTGAAGGAAAAGTATCCAAATATCAGAATACAGACTGCTCTGATAGAAGAGGATTGACTAAGTATCATCAAAACTCTAGTGACCACAGAGATAGACCTCCAGAATGATTGGTCCCTAGTCTGGTCTTCAGATCTTTCAATAACGTACCCATGACCACTGTAATCAAACTTGGTGCTGATCATTTTTTCTTCTTCTGTTTCCTTCCACCTTTCTCTGCATTATAAACTTCTCAAGAGAGTTGGGTCTTCACATGATGTATCCAAAATACAAAAATTTGGGTCTTGGGTAAGAACTCTGGATTGATTTGTTTCCTTGGCTACCCATGGCATTCTCAAGATTCTTTTCCAAAAGCATTAGTACTCTTTCTATCATATTTATTGATCCAAATTTTGCTTCTACAGAGTGCCAAGGGAAATCCATTATATGCATATTCACATGCATAATTCTTAAAGAACTGTTAATAAAATTTAATTCAAATTTATTACAGCCCTAAGGCCAGATACAAACAAAATATGGTATAAGAGTAGTAGTACATTCTTACATGTATATATGTGTAAAGGAAGGACAGTAGGTATAATAGAGTCTAAAAATAATTAAGAACATAGTTCTTATAACATTCTATTATAAAATTCCAATCCGAAGTAGTGGTATAGAATATCGTACAAATCATAACACAGAACTGGGTGACTTGAGAGGTTATTTTCAAGTCCTAGTCTGAGAGTAGTAGCATTAAATAGAAATTACATTCCCTATCTGGAAATTTCTTCCAGGCAGGATATATAAGGGTCTGTCTAGATTCCTTATATAAAGAACAGTATAATGGTATATGGTCTAGAGTTTCTGTTCAACCAGTGGAACAACCTGCCTCCAGAAGTGGTGAACGCTCCAACACTGGAAGTTTTTAAGAAGAAACTGGACAGCCATTTGTCCGAAATGGTATAGTGTTTCCTGCCTGAGCAGGGGGTTGGACTAGATGACCTCCAAGGTCCCTTCCAACTTTATCATCATCATCATCATCATCATCATCATCATCATCATCATTATTATTATTATTATTACCACATAAATATAACTGAAGATTCATAGGAGTACTCCTAAAACATCCCCAAAGAATTGCTGAGGGCATAATATCCTTGCAAACCTTTAACATTGAAATAGGCAATTCTAGCATTATGAAAGCCTAATGTGCACAGACTGTAAGGACCCGCTTCAAACCTCATCCCAAGAAAGCAGGACTCTTGGAACACTCTCATTCCAAAAGGAACTTTTATTAGGAGAAGCTGACAGCAGGCATAGAAGGCAGGATCTGGGGGTCTCCCGCTCAGATCAATAGGTTAAAAGAGTCTCAAGCAAACCCCACCCCAACAGTTCATCCGGTCAGTTCAAACGAGCCAATCTCTAGGTGTTAAGTCCACTGTGGGAAGACCTTATTGGGTCTTCGCACCTTTCTCTTCCGCAGCGAGAGATAAGCCAGATGGCCGGAGGTACATTCCTTTCTCACCCCAAGTTGGCATCAAGGGAGAAACAGTTCAAAAAGCTAGCATGTAGAAACAGCGGAGAGGATACATTGTAGCAAAGCAAAAGGGCATCCCACAGAGCCTTCTCCCCCCTCCTCA